GTTAGACATAGGAGCAGAGGTTAGACATATGAGCAGAGGTTAGACATATGAGCAGGTTAGACATAGGAGCAGAGGTTAGACATAGGAGCAGGTTAGACATATGAGCAGGTTAGACATAGGAGCAGAGGTTAGACATAGGAGCAGGTTAGACATAGGAGCAGAGGTTAGACATAGGAGCAGGTTAGACATATGAGCAGGTTAGACATAGGAGCAGAGGTTAGACATAGGAGCAGAGGTTAGACATAGGAGCAGAGGTTAGACATATGAGCAGGTTAGACATAGGAGCAGAGGTTAGACATGAGCAGAAGTTAGACATAGAAGCAGAGGTTAGACATATGAGCAGAGGTTAGACATAGGAGCAGAGGTTAGACATGAGCAGAAGTTAGACATAGAAGCAGAGGTTAGACATAGGAGCAGAGGTTAGACATATGAGCAGAGGATAGACATATGAGCAGGTTAGACATAGGAGCAGGTTAGACATAGGAGCAGAGGTTAGACATATGAGCAGAGGTTAGACATAGGAGCAGAGGTTAGACATAGGAGCAGAGGTTAGACATAGGAGCAGAGGTTAGACATAGGAGCAGAGGTTAGACATAGGAGCAGAGGTTAGACATAGGAGCAGAGGTTAGACATAGGAGCAGAGGTTAGACATAGGAGCAGGTTAGACATATGAGCAGAGGTTAGACATATGAGCAGAGGTTAGACATAGGAGCAGAGGTTAGACATAGGAGCAGAGGTTAGACATAGGAGCAGAGGTTAGACATAGGAGCAGAGGTTAGACATAGGAGCAGGTTAGACATATGAGCAGAGGTTAGACATATGAGCAGAGGTTAGACATAGGAGCAGAGGTTAGACATAGGAGCAGAGGTTAGACATATGAGCAGAGGTTAGACATAGGAGCAGAGGTTAGACATAGGAGCAGAGGTTAGACATAGGAGCAAGAGGTTAGACATAGGAGCATCAATCAGGTTAGACAAGTTTAGACATAGAAGCAGGTTATTTAGTAGAGCAGCATAGGAGCAGAGGTTAGACATTTCATGCAGGTTAGACACAGGGTTAGACAACACAAAGCGCTTCACAGTCCACATCATCAACAAATCATCACATAAAACAAACACCAGAATCACAATTAAAACATTAAAATCACACAAAAGATTAAAACACAATAAAAACAATAAAATCACACAAAAGAATAAAACCATTAACACTTTCAAAGTTACACAAGAAATTTAAAAAAAATAAATAAATAAATGACAGCAGTGCATTACAAATGGAGATAAAATCCTTCAGTTGTATGCACAGGCAAACAGAACAGTCTTTAACCTGGATTTGAACATTGACAGAGTAGACGCCTCCCTCACATTTTCAGGGAGATTGTTCCAGATCTTAGCTGCATGGATCTGAAACGCAGCCTCCCCATGTTTGGTTCTCACTCTGGGCACCAGCAGGAGGCCAGTCCCTGTGCTCCTCAGAGTCCGGGCTGGTTCATATGACACCAACATGTCACTAATGTATTCTGGTGCAAGGCCATGGAGAGACTTGTACACAAAGCAGAGCTGTTTTAAAATCTATTCTTTGAGCCACAGGAAGCCAGTGCAGAGACCTGAGGACCGGACTAATATGGTCATACTTCCTGGTTCCTGTCAGGACTCTAGCTGCTGCATTTTGGATGTACTGCAGCTGCTTACAGGTCTGTTTGGACAGACCTGTAAGCAGGCCATTGCAGTAGTCTAGCCTGCTGGAGACAAATGCGTGGACAAGAATCTCCAAGTCTGCCCTGGACACTATATTTCTGACTTTGGCAATGTTCTTCAGATGGTAAAAAGCTGTTGATGTTATTGATTTTATGTGGCTATTGAAATTTAGGTCCGAGTCCAGTATTACCCCCAAATTTCTGACCTTGTCTGAAGGAAGTAGGGAGAGAGACTGAAGTTGACAGATGACGCCCTCTCTTTGTTTCTGGGGACCAAAGACAATGATTTCGGTTTTGTCTGCATTTAGCTGGAGGAAATTATTTTGCATCCACTCACTGATCTGTTGGATACAGTGAAGGAGCAAATCCAGTGGTCCATGTTCTCCTGCAGTCAGTGAGACATAGATCTGAGTGTCGTCGGCGTAATTGTGGTAGGACACTTTGTTTCTTTGTATTAACTGACCTAACGGCAGCATGTAGAGATTAAATAGGAGAGGTCCCAGGATCGACCCCTGTGGTACTCCACAGGTCAGGGCCACATGATCTGAGACGCAGTCTCCAATCTCCACAAAGTACTTCCTATCCTCCAGGTAAGACCTAAACCAGTCTAGGGCTGTGCCAGTGACACCAACCCAGTCCTCCAGTCTCTGCATGAGGATCTCATGGTCGACAGTGTCGAACGCGGCACTAAGATCTAACATGACCAAAACTGTGACTTTACCTGCATCAGTGTGAAGTCGAATGTCGTTTGTTACCTTCACTAGAGCGGTCTCAGTGCTGTGGTGGGGTCTAAACCCAGACTGGAACATATCAAAAGAATTATTCATTGTTAAAAATTCAGTAAGTTGTTGGGAGGCCACTTTTTCAAGAATTTTTCCAATGAATGGCAGATTCGATATGGGGCGATAATTTTGAAGTCCCGCAGGATCCAGACTGCTCTTTTTTAGGAGAGGTCTTATGACTGCTGTTTTTAGGGCCATAGGAAATGTTCCTGACGACAGAGACATGTTTACTATTTGTGTCAGTGAAGGTAACAAACTGCTCAGGACGGACTTCAGAAATTTAGAGGGCAATATATCCAGGCTACATGTGGAGGAGCTCAGACTCATGATTATCTTTTTGACAGTTTCAGTATCCACAGGTGCAAAGTGAGTTAGCTCAAAAAGCTTCTCTGGCTGTTGCATTGTTATACGTGCTGTGGAGGTGATAGTGTTTTTGATTCCTTGTACTTTGTCATCGAAAAACTGTGCGAACTCATTACACCTAGATTTAGAGGAAAATTCTAGGGGCAACTTTACAGGGGGGTTCGTTAATCTACCAACTGTTGAAAACATAACACGAAAATTGTTACTGCAACCTCCAATAATGTCAGAAAAATAAATTTCTCTTGTTCTTCGTAGAACCCGGTTAAATTCACCCAACTCATCTTTAAAGATTTCATAATCGCCCTGGAAATTGGACTTTCGCCACTTCCGTTCGGCCCTCCGGCACTCTTGCTTCTGTGCCCTGACCGAGTCTGCCTTAGTCCATGGGGCCTTTTTCTTACTGGTAACTATTTTAACCGTCACAGGAGCAATGGCGTCCAGAACAGTCAGAACACTGGTGGTGACAGAGTTATACAATTCATCAACAGTAGAGCATGGAGTTTTCTCAAAATTTAGCATTCCCATGAACAGTTCACCTGTGTTTTCATGTATGTGTCTTCTTCTAACAATTGTAAATTCAGCTGGTGGTTTGCTAGCAAAACACATGTCAAAAAATACACAGAAATGATCTGACAAAGCAACATCAACTACATTAACATTTGATACATTAACCCCCTTTGTAATTAGCAGGTCAAGAGTGTGCCCCCTGCTGTGGGTGGGGCCACTCACGTGCTGAATGAAACCAAAGGTCTCAAGTACAGAAGCCAGCTCCTTTGCATTTCTGTCATCAACATTATCAACATGTACATTAAAATCACCTGTAATAACTAAACTATCAAAATCTGTGCACACGAATGAAAGTAGTTCAGTAAAATGGTCAATAAAATCGCAACATGACTGTGGTGGCCTGTACAGGACAATGAAAAGAGTAGAAGATTGCTTTTGTTCCATTTTAAAAGAAATATACTCAAACGATGAAAAATTTCCAAGGGGCATTCTATGGGAGACAAAGTGCTCTCTAAAAACTGCAGCTATGCCTCCCCCCCTTTTGTTTTCTCGTACTTCGGATTCGAATTTAAAATTGGGTGGTGTTGCTTCTATTAGAACTGCATTTCCTGTATTTTGGTCCAGCCATGTTTCAGCCATAAGCATAAAATCAAGATCATAAGAAGTGATAAAATTATTAATTAAAAATGATTTGTTACATAGAGATCTGACATTAAGCATAGCAAGTTTAAAAATAACGTCAGAGTCGATTAATGTGGTTGATTGATTTCTACAGGGAACAGAAATTAGATTTGCAGAGTTGGACCGTCTAACTGCTGTCCTGTTTTGATTTCGTTTTTTAGAATTTAAAAACATTTTTGAGCTGGTGCGAGGAACACACACAGTCTCAATTGGCCTAAAATGTGAAAACCCTTGTTGTTCTTTAGCTCCCAGAGTCAGAAGGGAGTCAGCACAGTTCAGTGTTTGGACTGGTAATACACTGCCAGACGGACAGGGAGCAGTGTTTGCACCGTTGTACTCACCCGGTGCTGGTGAGCAGAAGCGGGGGAGTGCAGTGGGGTCCGAAATAAAGCAACAGTTCTTGAAATAACACTAAATGGCTTTGTCCCATTGGCAAATCTTGTTTTAAGACAGTCAGAAAGCGCTCAAGATAAAAAATAAAATAAAAAATAGATTCAAGCAATTATTACCTAATATTTTATCATTTTATGTGCTCTAAGAGTTAATTCAAAGAGGAAAGGTAAAGCTGGGGTACCTAACTTTCAATGAAACAATGTAATAAAATAACATGCGTCCTTTTGGTTTCTCACTCCCAGAAACAGTGTTCAAGTTTATCAAACTGAAAAGTAAAAAACCGAGGGATGCAATCCACTCAAAGCGTCAAATAGTGACTAGCAAAGATCTTTCTCAGAGGTATGCAACAGATACATGTTTTCTAATAAGATAAAGTCAGCATGTTGTGGTCTGAAGTAAGTACCCCAGCTTTAAATATGAAGATTGGTACAATATTTTTGCCTTGGTGAAATATTCACATTTCTCCAAGTGAATGTTGTTTTCTCTCAGTGAAATATTTGCACTCACCGGTGCAACAGGAGCTCCAGGTTTGGCTCCAGCTCCTGTGGGACCCGAGCAGACAACGGGACATTGGTTCTTACATTCGGGATGAACCACCACTCTGCAGTTTCGGCACTTCACCACCCCCTTTCCAAAACGCATCCTCTTCCCGCAGCCGCAGCACGACTCTGGACGGATCACCTTCCACAACAAGGACACTGCTAACTCAATCAAGACCTGAATCCAAACAGAAATGAAGATGAACCAGGACTGGATTGGTACCGTTTTGTGGATGAAGACGTGTTTGGTGGTGGCTGTGCTGTTGCTCATGTTGTAGCCGGTCTTGCCGGGCGTCTGGCCTCGCATGGGGGTTCTGCTGCAGATGTTGGAGAAGGCACTGGAGCTGGAGTTGTTCCTGAAGAACTCCTCGGTGCGGGTCACGGTCTCCGGTTCTATTGTGTCCTCAGAGGGTTGCCAAACAGATGTCTGGTCTACAATCAACCAACACACAGCCAATTAGAGGAGCTCAAAGATGTGCAAACCAAGGAAAGACTTTTTAATGCCAGTACCTGCCTGGACTAGAGACATTTCCTGACTCAGCCGGGGCCCCTGGTTCTGGGTCACCCCCACCACCATGTGGATCTGAGCGGACTCATGAGTGAGGACTGTAGCCTTGACAATGGTTTCCACCTCCTAAAAATACATTGAATGAAATTGCAATTATTTTTCTCCTGAAATAAGTTGTCCACACTTCCATTAAACTGCAGGTTTAGGATATGAACCTTCTCCAGAGGAAGCCGGTCCTGGACTTGGGTCTGGACCTGGGTCTGGACCTCAGTGGTGACATTGGTCCTACACTTCTTTCCCATAGACGATCGCTGACCAACAGAAACAGAAGTTACTTGACTGGTCGAACATCATTGATTACGTTCGTGAAAAGTTCTGACCCGCCTCTCTCTGGCTCTGGACTTCAGGGGTTTGAGGACTGTGCAGTCCAAGTCCTGGAACCAGACCACAAATACAACTTTTAAGCACTTATGAAAAATAATTCCTTCATCACTGCACTCTTGTCCAGTGTTAAAGTATTGTGGTAGCAACGGCCTTTGTTAAATCATAATTCCACATTTTTTTTAATCTACTATAATATTGCATTGTTATATCTATGCCCCACGAAGTCACAGTTAAGGTCCATTTAAAACCTCTGCTTTGTACTCATAGGAGTAACTTAGCTGCCACTTTGTGTGGTAAATGACTGCTCTCGTCTGAAATGGACTGATCATGTTGAGCTACATAGTTTACGGTGAGTCCATAAATACCACGTCATCATCTGTTCGGTCGTAGCTGATATCCGAGTGAGATAAAAATGAGGACTCGTCGATTACACACAACCTGAGAAAAGTAAATCCAGTTAGACACGGCTTGGATGCAGTTTAGATCCAGGGTGTTTCTGGTACCGCTTGCCGGTCCGGTGCAGTGTGCCGTTTTGGTTCTTGTGTTCGAACGTGGCGAGGAGACACTTCTGTTCATCGTTTAAATAGGAACTGGACTTTGAGTCTTGGACCAGGATGTCACACATGAGCTGCATCTGCCGCTGCTGCAAGAGGAACACAGGCCACAACATCAGGAACAGAGGCACTCAACAAAGCAGTCCTTTTTGTCCTTCATAATAACATTTTAGTTGTTAGCCGTAGGGGCAAATGGAATGTTTTTATAGTAACTAATGTGTACAATAGTTTACCACCAATGTAACAAATGTCACAAATGAAAAGTCAATATCTTCTCATATTGTAAAAGGGACTATGCGGCAAGACAAGTTTATTTGTATCTATAATGAGCAGTATTTATTGAATGATAAGTTGATTTAATAGTTATAATGAAGATCCTATAGTATTCACTGGAACTGAGTGATAGCATTAAATATACATGTCCATGCATAGCTGCTGAGAGTGTGAAATGCTGTGCCATGGTAGACTAGTATTTGCTCATGTTATAAAAATGATTAGATTTCTCACCAGGTACTGGAAGTCTCGCTCCACTCGCAGGTGTTTCTGCATCTCCAGGTCCAGCTGGTTTCTCACATGTTTCAGTTTCACGTCCAGCGCAGCTTTGGCCACGTCAGACTTCACCAGTAGCTCTTTGTATTTCTTTAATTCGGACTCTGCAATCAAGCAGCGTTTCCTCATGTCTTCAAATGACTTCGCCATTTCCAGGAACTCTGAAAACAAATATTCAGAAAAAAAAATAAAAAAATCAATCCGCACATTCATGAGTTAAAATATCAGAATGCTGTATGTAGGAAAATGAGCTTTGATTATTACTAAAGTATTTTCAGATACTCACGTCAAGTCTCACTAAACCCCACAGTGCAATATTTAGTGTGAAATACAAGAACATTTTAAAGTCCCAGCCACAAAAAAAGGATCAATACAATGGAATAGGGGCGACAGTGGGTTCGAGCCCACCACAAGACCTTCTTCACAGACTCCCACTGTCCACTGATGTCTTTCCCAAGGACACACCGACAGTAGACACTTAACCCCACTTTGCCTGAAGCCCCCGCTGAAAGATTAAGGCTATGCTCACACTGACAGAGTAGCCATCCTCCTGTGGACTCACACCCCCCCCCCCCCCCAGAAATGGATTAAGGGGTAGAAAATGGATGGATGGACAATGAAGTAGTCCTGACTGTCCTGACTGTATTGAAGTATTTACCAAGCCAAAGGTTACCCAAATCAACATTCTAACTATCAGGTCTCAAAAGATCAAGGTTTCACAAGAGCTGGACATTCAAGACCACCTAAAATTAACTTTGAACTTACTTGCAAAACATTCCACAAATCTAACAAAGCAGTAAAATATGGAGCATCAAAAAAATCTTGCCTGATCAGCCAAGTACACATTGACAATAAAGAACATGTACAATTTATATGGATTTGAATATCAATGTCTAAAAAGGTAGAACCCAAACAAATGTATATGACTAATTTCGATTGTAATAAAAATGTTGCCAAACATTTAAGACCAGAAATCTCAATGAAAAACTTATTTTCAAGCTTTCAATATTTCCATCAAAGACTTAGAATATTGCTAAAGCCATAATAATAATCAAAAATTAACTTACCCCGTTCAGTGTCTATAGATGACTGCTCCATGGAGATTCTCTGCAAACACAGAGACAGAAGTTCTTCCACCACAGCCCGAGACTCCCCCATCTCTCCCCGGGTTGTAGGACTCTAACCCCCCGCAGAGCTGCCGCATAGTGTTGACAGGTCAGACATGATGCTTATGGCCCCAGTGCAGTTCACCTGCTGCTCATCACTGTGAGCAGGATCAGCTGCAGAGTCACGTGACATTCCCTTGCTTCGACTGTAGTAACTCTTTGCGTCCACCAGAGGGAGCGCGCGAGAAGAGAAGAAATACAGGCTGTAACTGAATTCATAAAACAGTACCTTATTTCTTCTCGCTTTCATTTACCTTATTGACATTTACTTACACCTAAGTGGCATTGAAATATGTCGTAGAGTATTATCATATGGAAGAGCAAGCAAGTTCTTTTTTATATACGGATGAGCCCCGTCTAACGTGCAATGCCTTTATTTAACCACCAGAGAGAGCCCGATACAAATACATGAGATATTTGCTATATTACAGTCACGCTTTTAGGACACATTTCACGCCAATATGTTGATGTTTTATTGAAAAAAACAAAAAAAACAAATGGACGTAAAGCTGAAAAGTGTTTATTAAAGTACACTTGGATTTAGATCAAGACTGGTAAACTCAAAAGCACTGTGTATTTTTTCATGGACATTTTAATGATTAGACCGCAAGATTAATGTCAGGTGACTTTGTCTGTTGAGTTATACTGCTTTCATCATTTGATTTATGGCTCGAATAGACTAACTCAGTCCTGGATATATAGCTTGTCGGCCCATGAGAGTGGATCCCTCTCTCTTTCAGAGCTTTAAGTTTTATCTTGCAGATGATCCAGGATATTTATGGACATTATTAACCCGTTATATGGACCTATGAATCTCAGGTTTTGCGTTTTTTATAATTATGTTCTTTTACCATCCATCCAGTCTCTTACAAGTACCTGTGTTTCTTATATGTTTGAACATATAAGAAATGTTTACATTTCTTATATATCCATCTAGTCTTTTGATTCATACATATTGAAAATGTTTTTAAAGGAAAGGTAAAGGTATAGGGACCACAGCGATAACAAGCAAACTCCACACAGAAAGGCCCTGTCTGGAGGAAGAATAAAACCCAGACGTTTCTTGCTGTGAAAGTGCTAACGGCTGTGCCACAGATTTAAAATACACTGTTTTCTCACTGTATTAACACTAGGGCTCCCAGCATTTTGAAACTACTAAAACTCATAGAGCCGTCATTCTGACTGCTTCCATTAAAATAAATGATAATCTGAAAATTCCCCAAAAAGTTAGTAGATTTGGCATCAGTTTTATTCAAATTTACCTTTATTCACTTTTAATAAGCGCTAAAACTTGAACTCACTGGTAGAAAGTAAACAGTATGTTGCTATGGTAACTAGGACTAGAAGTCTAAAGAGATAATGAAAAATAATGACACAGCAATAAACCACATATAGAGACAGAAAAAGTCAAAGTTATGAAAGTGTAGTGAAGCTACACTTTCAAAACTAGAAGCTGTCAAAATGACTGCTATGGGAGTTCTAGTGTTAAACAGAATCATATAGTGTAGAGAGGAAGAGGAGATTTTGTTATACTCCCGTGTAATGATTTAGACTTGCTGTCCAGGGACCACTCAGCATTCATGTCCATTCATTTCACTCATCAATATCCCAGATTTCTCTCAGTTTCGAAATGTCACACAAAGACGAGCCACCAGCATGAACTGAATGATTTTTATTGTTCAGCACTGAAGATGCTCACAGTTATGTCATATGGGGATCACATCAGTCTGTTGTTCCTGCTCTGCCAGAGGACCACTCAGGCCTCTGAATGACCCGCTGTAGTGCTGCTAACTTCCCATAGTAGAAAACAAAGAAGGGCGTACGACAGGGTATTGCTTTGTGTTTTGTACTGTTATCAGCTCTCCATCCACCCAAAGGCAGACAGTGCTAAGAGCTCCGAGCCTTCAAAGAGAGGTACAGAGGTCAAAAAGGAAGCATCGTTTGCAAACTTTGTGCACGAGATAAGGAGGAGGAGAAAGGGAAAGACTTTAGGGACGGTTTAAAAAAAAGAAAATAACAATAAAAAGGCCAAAAGCAGACAAAGAGTGAAAAATCAGGGACAGAGGGAGCATCCGACATTTAAAAAAGGGCATTTTGTGGCTCCGTGAAGGCTGAGAGGAGAAGTGAGTTTGGCATGGAACAAGAACACGAAAGCCATGCAAAGAAAAGCTCTGACATGCACACAGCAATACAAGCTAAAAGCATAGAGCAGGAATCCCCAGCATGTTCAAGAGAGACAATCAAGCCCCGCGGCGAGTCTGTCTATTTACAACGGCTCGGGCTTGTGCGCACACGGATATGAATCTGATCCATTGTCTATAGCAACCAAACTATCAGAAGAGCATTTTCCTCTCCCAAAAAGAGGCTAATTCTACATTCTTAAATAACCGGTATGACATTTTTTTCTTTGAGAAGAGTTGTTCACATAATCAGTTTTAAGTCAGACCAAAACGGAAAGAAAAAAAGTTCATTTTTTTCTTCAAATGTCCCATTTACACACACACAAGGGTAATAAATAACATTCAACTGACCTAACAGCTTTGTTCATATAAATAGCCAAGTTATAATAAATTAGGAAATCAGGAGGTGAGATGACAGACAAGTCAATAAATAAGCACAAGAATACAAAAATATCCATTTGTCACTGTTGTTTTTTGTTCCTCTCTGCTAATGCTGGTAGTTGAGACTTAAGGCTGCGCTCGCACTGGAGGAAAGTGGTCCAAACCTGAGTACTCCGAGTCAATGGCCCGCATTACGTGTGAACACAGTCTTTTTTATATCTACAATTCAATATACTGTATATCTGTAACCATACTCCCAGATGGGAAGAACGCTATTGAACGAGTGCTATTGGGTTTGCTTTAAATATCAAAGGCAAATGATGCAATGTTATGTCTGGTGAAGAAGTAGCATGAGAAAATCCACAAAATGTAGATCATTTCACTTGCTCCTTCATCAAAACCGGCCATTGCATTACCGGTAGTCAATTTGTGATGTGTAATGCAGAAAAATACTTGTATACTATTATTCTGGTATCATGTATTGATAAATCACATTCTATTAGACCAACGTGTTGATCTATATTTTTGGTATTCACTCACACACCGCACACATATACGACTGCTTTTTGGTTAAACAGATTTGCTTGCTCTGGTTGAAGATGGGGAACCTAACTTTCATATCACAAATTGATTCAAACTAAATCCATCTATTTCTTTAAGTTTTGTTCTATTAGTTTTCACATGAATTATGGCTGAATTATTTCAGACAAATTAAAAAGAAAGGCCTCAAGGCGCTTTTTTGACACTCAAAAGACGCTTCACATGGCAATATTCATTCATTCTTAACATAGTGGTGAGAAACTCCTACTGCAGTCACAGAAGCGAGGAAACCAGTATGTCCCATCAGCCCCACTAACCACCACTTATCATTCTTGCACACCTCAGACTCACACTACGCAAGGTGGGCAAAGTGTCTTGCCTAAGGACGCAACAACAGTTTGGCAAGTCACAGTACTAACCAGGCCCTGCCCTGCTTAGCTTCAGAGCTCTGACACTCTTTGATCGGATATGTTTACAATATTATACTCATACAATACTCTTTCATGTATTGTGAATGAACAACCAAAGTCAGGTCCCCCAGCTTTAAAAATACACCCCTCAAACCTGAAGTGGGCCACTTTCAGCTCCAGTGCGAGTGCAGCCTTTGAGAGAGAGAAATTTAACGGGAAAAAAACACAGATTTTTCCGATTACAGATAACATGAATGCCATTGATAATCATTAATGATGAATAACCATTATTCAAAGGTAAGACAAATGATGTTCTAACAAAAATACATAGATTTTCGAACAGAATGAGGCTGGTGCAGGTATTTCCACCCGACCGTTTGATATATCTAAAATCACAACTAGACATTTCATTTTGTATACATAAGAAATCAGTCTGTACATAATAGATCATTCATTTTAAATACCCACATTCCCCCCCACCCCAGCCATCTCCCCATAATGCTATCATCATATCCTCTGCCCCATCTCCCTTCCCCCTCCCACCTCCCCTTTACAATTCCAGTGCATGTTGCAGCAATAGAACCAAGTCTAATAATGATAATACATAATAAAGTCAATATTCTTCAAAGTTCTTCACAAAGAAAGTACATTTAAAAAGCGAAATCAAAATAGTTACAATCCAGCAAGCAATCTGTGTCGGCGTTGTGTGTCGGGTCTCCTCTTCCTTCTCTCCTCCTCGAATTCAGTCAATGTTTTGTCTGTAAGTTGTAATTGTTCATCCCAGAGTTTTGGATTTTTTGTGCATACCGGAGGTGTCCAAGTCGAAGTGCTTCTCTCCAATTGAAGGAAATCTGGTAGAAGTTTTGTATATGGAGTGTGCATTGAGTTGTGTCTCGTTCAGTGTTCAGCAGGTGTTTATGATTGGGTATGGGAGGGACTAAAAACTAATGGAGCTACTTCTAGAAATGGCAGCTAGAAGTGAAGAGTTTTTTTTATAACAACCCCCTCATTGTATAGATGCAGATTTGAAGAAAAAGAGTAAATCTTCCATCATCTAGAAAAGTCCGTCTGTCTTGGCACTCTTTCGAAGGAAGGGGTTGTAGACTTGGGGAACGCCTTAATATGTTTTTTGGATAATTCCTGGTGGTGGGAAAAAAAATGGACATGGTTGGAAAGTTAGAGCAGCATGAATTATCAGACAAAAAGTGGAGATGGAACGATGATGAGTGGGAAGTGAGATGTGCATTCAGAAAAAATATATATCTATCTTTAGTCATTCATAGAAAACGTCTTTGCAAGCTCTAAGATTCGTCTTGCGTGCCGACCGATGCCACGGCGAGCTTGGCCCGGGGGCATTTCGCGTCATTGTTTTCGTGATCGGCATGCCTCCGGACGGGCGCGGGCGAGAGGCTGTGCTTGGCGTAGGAGGGCACCTGGCCGTTCTTCTCGTCTGAAAAGAGTTGTTTAATTACGTCAAAGAAGTTACTCATAGCGCCGCCTACAGGTGCACACACAGGGCGGGAGCAGAGGGAGAGAAGAAGAGAAGAAAGGCGTGAGCACTGGGTCACAGGACACACGGGACGAGAGGAGAGCAGAGGCCAGGCCCGGATTTGCTGAAGCCATGCACATGTGCAGAGCCGCTGCTGAAGTATGAGAGCGCGGACTGACTGTTGGTTTTCTACTGTTTAACTTGTACTCAAACACAAACATTTGGAAGATTCAGTCGTTTTGTATGAGGTTCATTTAATTTTATCTATATTTCTCACAACACTTAATTCTTTAGATGCCAACGTAGTAGTTTTCGTAATATTATTGTATTGATTTAATGAATTCAGTTTATTCACTTTTTATTCGCAATCCAAACAATTGCTTAAATTCTCTAATTGTTCTTTCAATTATTATGGAAATCTGCCTAAACATAAGTCATTCTCTGTTTCTTCAAAAGGCGACAGTTATCTACTTAAGCTCAGGAAACAGCTGGGTACTTTCTGCTTTATTATTACTTTGTCCATGACATGAAGTGGTTTCAATATATTTGGTTTATCACAATTCTATCTCTACATACCGTAATTGCAGAACTATAAGTCTCTCCTTTTTTCAACATATGTTTTATTCATTGTAGGAGTATCTCCTGGGGTGAAGGAAGAAATGTGAACACAGCTCTATCAGCTGTGGTTTATGTTTATGTGAACAGCAGAGATCTGACTTGAGGAAGTGCAGGGAAATACACAGGACTTTATGTGATATGGGATGTTGTTTGACCAGAGTTTGCACATATCATTTTGAAGTTTTAGTAGCCATAGGAAAAATGAATTGTTTGGATAAGATAAGATGTGCTTTATTTATCTCACATAGGAGAAATTTACATGTCACATTTGGCATGGATAGAGACACTCAGATTGTGCAATATATATGTACAATATAGTACCTGCAGCTTCTATTACAACAATAAATACTTCTTTTTTCTTTCAAATGTAGCTGGTGTGGTTAAATAGTGCTTAATAGTCCTGCAAGTATGGTAAAAATGTACGGTAAAAAGAACTACACAAAACTCTCCATCCTAGTATATTATCTCAGAGCTGACAGCGAAAGCAGCCAAAAGCAGCAGGTCACTCAAAGCAAAGATGCAAGATGTGAAAGAATAATAAATAAATAAACAATAAATCACTCCACTCATTCGGTCTGTCTGTGTTTTCAGAGCCGGTCCCACATACTGACAGCAGCGCAGGCCTTTTTTGGGCCGAGTCAAGCGTGTAATGTTTGGATTGAGCTCGGAGCCAGAAGACAAGCTTTGATCAAAGCATTGTGCACAAAAGTCTGGAACACAACTAACAATGCAGACATGCACATCAAACAACAGGAGGCAGCAGCAGTTTGGAAACACGCCTGAAGAAAACGCAAGGATATAAAATGTGCATGTATTTTTGGTTTGTTTTGCATTTTGATAACACAAAAACGTAATGAGTTGTATAGTGTAAAACTGAAGTCCAAATGCTTTAGTTAACCAGACTGGTGCCGACAAAATTGGATTTTAAAACAGTTTAGACAGCCTTTGTTCTGAGCTTTGAAAAAACATGCCCATATTGCTTTACATTTGACGAAGCTGAAGTTGGCTGAGTGACAAAATAGCATTAGCATACTGAATTGTGTGCTATGTTCACATGGAAAAGCAGAGATAGTCAAGAGGCTCTGAGTAAAGCATGTTGTACTTTCCAAATGCATATAGCGTGTTGTATATTGGCTGAGCTGAAGTTGGCTGGATGACACTTTAAATTGCGTTTATGACCTCAATACCTACTTTGGTTTAGCAGGATACAGGACCACGATGAAAGAATACTGATATATTTTATGATTGCATTTTTTGTCTGGTTGGCTACAGACGTTTTATATTTCAAGGTCTTGAACGCTGAACACTATAAATATGTGTGAGCAAAATTAATAAGTAAATTCTCTCAGTATTACTACACATTCACTAATTTCATGCTTCATTCTGTTGACAGCTGGAGGACTTAACCGCGAAAGCCTGAGCAGCGAAAGTCAAGGAGATGCAACTCCCGAACGACAACAATTAGTATTCAGAGCTCCCTCAACTCATAATTGCTTTTATGTGGTCGATGAACTAGCTGTGTCTTGGGAGGTCAAAATAACAAGAAGCTCATCTTGGAATAATAAAGCGGGATTAGTTGCCCGACTGTGGCGTCACATAGACCATACAAATGTCCCTAACCTGTCAATAATATAACCAGTATGAGAGCGTTTACCGTGTTAGATCATTAGAATAAATACTACATCCTTTAGACGCAAAACAGATTTGGGGTAAAGTGCTAAATTGAGAATTCTTACATTAGATGCACTAGATGATTGTTAGTTTGATTTACTGATATAAAACAGTATATTTAAAATGATAATGTGTTAAATGTGGGGAAAACATATAAAAAGAACTGCACTGAACTAAAATGAGCCAAAATTATGTTTGTGTTTTCATGTGTGGCCAGCAGAGGGAGCTAGTGTCAAAGCTATGGCAAGCTGGGAGTTTGAACCACAATGCTAATATGATAGATTTATAATACAGATAAAAGTACTCCGACTATGAGTAGAGGCAAACACTTCTCGTTGGCAGATATGCTTAAGTAATATATCATTTTTTATGTGGAGTGGTTTTATTTAGGGCAAATTTAGGGTTATTTTCAGAGCTAAACATCTGCTCCTCTCCAGTTACACGTGATATTTAAGTGCATAACAGTTTGGAATGAATGCCAGGCAAACAGCCAAACAGTATTCCCTTTGTTATAGGCCTTTTCCATAGACAAATTAAGGTTTTTGACTTCTTTCCCACTCCATTTCGAGCTGACAAATTGTAAATAGAAAAAGCATTTGTAAATACATATTGTAATCGTAAATATTCAACACATGGTGAAACTAGGGCAAATAATGTTGCTTGACTGTATATTTATGTTTATATATTTGCATGTGTAACTGTATATTGTAAATGTATAATCTAATAATCCTGAGGCCTGTTATCACTGCTTTAGATGTTCACAAGTTGCGGTTCTTCAGAAACTATGAAGTGACAGACTTCCTTTGCACAGTAGTAGCAGGTAAGAAGTGAAAAAAAAAAACAATTTCCCAGCGCGAGTGGAGTAGCACGTTTTTCCAGGTGTGCCGTTGCTTGCGAGGCGCATAGCATTATGGGAGGTGAAGCAGTGTTGCCATGGTGACAAGCCCCTCTCGGGAGTCTCGGTAGGAGCGCAGGAGTGCCAATCAGCTCAGCGCCTATGTCTGATGTCGATCGCAAGAAACTACTGACCTACTCATGCAGCGGCTATGACCAGGCACGGAGCACGGAGAGGCTGGAGCAATGGGAGCGGTGGGCTGGGTGGGCTCGGTGGGATGGGGTTGGATGAAGCGGATTCTCAGCAAAAAGGAAGTATCTACATTAGTCAAACACTATTAACTGTGAGAAGTTTGAGTTCATCTCTATAATGATCATATGACCTACAGTTGACTTGACTCGACATAATTTGATTCATCTCGTTTACAAGGTTCATATTTTGGTTTTGTTTGCTGTTTTTTTTAAACATTTATTATTAAAAGCTGGGGTACCTAACTTTATCTTTTCATAAATGACACATGTTGTTAGTACTAGCATAAAGAGTTGTTGAGAACCAGGTACAAGTTGCCTGTTTAATGGGTTTGTGTAAAAATATGTATTGTCCAGGTTCAAAATAAAAAAATCAGACCACAACATGTTATTTCATCTTTGTAGAAAACATGTTTTCTTTTGCAAACTTGTGAGAACCCTGTCAGTCACTATTTGCTGCTTTGGACTGAGAGCTCATTGGCTGAGTGAGGGTGGTCCTCCGTTTATTCCCTTTTCTGTCTGAAAAAATGCCTAAAAAGTCCATACACATACATGCATGTAAAAACTAGTGATAGAACTAGAGACATGGATTAATTGAATAGTATTTTTCAGTACCCCAGCTTTAAAGTTTAAGGCAAAACATTTCCACACAATATTTTAAAACATGTAGTCAAAGTCAAAGAATCAATGGCGCTAAGAACAATAAAACTCTTTTTGTTCTTGACCTGTCTTTTGTATTTGACTTATGTAGATACCTTTTTGCAGCGTTGTGGGAGTCAGTTTTGAGGAAAAAAAATAATATATAAAACTAATACTAAATACTCACCAGCTAGCTGTTGGACCCCAGGCTGGTCATGTGTGCTTAACAACTGGCTCTGAATGGACTCCACTACTCGCTTAAAACGCCGACTGGGTCCTGAACAACACAAAAACAGGAGGAGAAAGAGTTATTTCCTCAGTCCAGACACAACAGTAGAAGCATACAAAATAATAGGAAACGTCAAAGTCCAGACCTAAATCCGAGAGAAAATCTGTGAAAGCTGATGTTCACAAACATTCTCCATTTAATCTGACAGAGCTCGAGTTTCTTTAGACAAATGGGCATAACTTCAGAGTTGTACGTTTGTGCTTTTTCAGTTAAAAAATCCAAATGGAAATCTTTATGTTTGTCGTTGTGACATGACAAAAGGAAGAAAAGTTCTAGCGCTGTTAAACCTTTCGCTGTATGTGGAGAGTGATGACCACAAGAGCTACATTTATAAGTAAAGTATGTTTCTGCAAATTAATTATTCAAGTGGTAAATGTTGTAAGTACTTTTAAGGCTAAATATAACATCACAGTTGTTAGTAGTTACCAGATACCCACATTGTGTCATCAAACTATGTTCTGTTCTTGTGCTAGGTTGTGGGATGCTTGTTGTGTATACAAATGTGTAATGTTATGGGCTCGAAAGAAATAAACTAAATGAAATGAAAAAAATGAAACTAATATATCCAAATATCTTATCGTAGATTTTACTTTCAGGGCGGATTACCACTTTGTTGCGAACCAATAGTAATTCCTACAAGTAATAAATGAGTACAGTAAATCTATACTTGTGCTTTATCATCAAAAACATTCATTCATTCATCCATACATGCATAATGAATGAATGACTTTTCCTTTCAGGCCCACCGGCAGAGAATGAAGAGACAGTGGCCGAATGCATGTGAAAACTAGTGATAGAATCTCATTGTTTTCAACTAGATTTTTTGGATAGTATTTTTTGTGGTTTAAAAATTCAGTACCCCAGATTTTAAGTTCTTAAAAATAAGTAGAAAACCTTTCTGTAGCATCAGTTGAGAAAAAATAAATACATAAATAATCAGACATATTTATATATATGTTAAAGTGACTGCATCTTGAGAGTGCAATGCTTTCTTCAAAATGTTCACATTCCGTTTCTGCTTCTGCAATTCTAAAAAAAAAATGTCTTTTCCAAATGAGTCGTGGGCATCATAGAGAATCACTACATGCAGACAGAAGCCGGGTACGTCTTCTTCTAAAAAAGCCACAAAAAGCTTCAATCTCATACTTTGTTTTAGTTTGAATACCAACAGCTAACTTAAGCCTATACAGAATTTCATATCAGTGGCTTCAATCATGAACACATGCTGTAAAATTGCGAAAACCGTCCACTTCTTGCAGCCCTGAAAGTCGGCGTGAGCAGTCAGAGGTACAGACTCAAAGTGCTGGATGAAGTGGGCGACTCGTTGTTGACCTGTTGTGGACATAACGCGGTCAGTGGCGCGGAACAATCGGCTCAGTCCAAAGCCGCTACTGTTTCTGTGAGAGCGGCGGAACGGTGCACGGCGCAGTACTCGGCGAGCGCATGATTGAAAGCAGTGTAATCTCACGTAGCCAGAGCTCATTTAGGCAGCACGGGGCGGCAGGATGGAGAGAAGGAATCTTATCAAGCATTCAGAACGAGGGAAAACTTTGAAAAATCCGTAGGCAGTGTTCTCCTTTTTGGAAAGAAAACATCACCATTCCCAAAACTGCTCTTCTGGTGTATTTTCTGCAGTGATAAGTTCATTCATTTCATTTTTTTTCTTTTTGCTAAGGAGCCAAGATGAATTTTAATATTTTCCTGGAGTGCCCTGACATCCTGCCTACACCGCTAATGTGTTTTCCAATTAGAAATAGCTTTAAAAAAAAATCATTTGAAAAGAAACAAGAAGAGCGGTGATGCAAGTATCTTCTTACATGACTAAATGTTAAAGTTAGGCGACAGTTTCGTCTTTGACGGTATTATCACAACTGATGATAAGGAAACAATTAGAACTTACTGCGTGATGATATATTTAAAAAAATAATCCAGTTTTGTCTTATCTTTGCATTCAAATTGACTGTACTTGGGCACTGAAAAGCCATTTTTATTGGTTTTTTGAAGTTTTATATTTTTTATCTGATAAGAAGTAGTGGGAAAGACTTGTATGACTCACTCAAGGGATTAAAGTGAGACAAAATCATGAAGAATCTGAAGAATCAAACTTGGTATGATTTGGACTATTTCTTTAACATAGCATCCAAATCAATACTTTGGATTAATATCGGCTTCATTCTGGGTTATTCAGATGGTTGGTGCTTGTCCTTATTTATTCCTAATTTAATCTTAAAGTGCAATGATGGTTATGACTTTAGCATTTCAGGATGTTTTGGGAGATTCTGTGTGACAACAAATTGCGCTAAAACTGGAGGTATCGAGAGGCTATAGCTGTACACCATCCCGAATAACCACTTGTTAGATCAGGGGCGGGTGATTATTTTGAGATCTTGTCATACTATTTAATTTAATTCCTGAAAAGACATTTGCAAACTTATTTTCTCAATTTTACATGGATGACAAGATATCATGTGTGTTTGTGGAAAGTTTATGTATTGCTTATCGAAAAATTTTGTGGGTTATTTTTTGGTGTTTTATTATTATTATTTTTTTTACTATTTTAATTTCACATCTTTGGAGTATTTAGCAAGGAACAAAACAGTGCTAAAGGCGGCTGTGTTTTGAAAATTGATTACGTCCTGGGTTAATTTATAAAAAAATTAACGTGCCAGGGTAGCAGCAGGGATTTTACTTGTTACCCTCCAGTTTTTTTTGCACTGCATTCTTGTCACTCCAAACATTACTAACTGAAAATATAACTACTAAAGTGATATAAATAAAAGAGTACCCTGTCGGTGGGAGCCCTGACCTGAAAGCAGGATAAACGTGACCGAGTAGATGCCGTTCTCCTTGGTGGCGGCTGTGCTCTCTGTGTAGGTGATATCAACCTGGAACTTCACGGGCTTCTGGAAAACCGTAGGACCCGCCGTGGACTTGTACTCCGCCCGGAAACTGGTCTGCGAGATGACGCTATGGCTCAGACTCGGGATCTGCACCGGAGACACAAGCAAAGTCACATAATTATCCCAAATAGGATTATAGAGCATGGTTATTCCTTGTGTGTTAGAAAATGACAAGGTGAACAAGGCCTCATTAGACCTTCTCCACCTCGGCATGGTTCAAACTCTAAGAAGATTATTGCCTCTGGGAGAAGCCATGCATGCGGACAAGACTTAAGCGTATGTAATCTCAACATTTCTGGCCAAATCTGTGCAGCCGACGAGAAAGTGAGGCTCAGAATTGTCATGTGTGGCCGTATTGTCGAATGCATTTGACATTCTATTAACGTAAAGCATGCCGAGAGCTGTAATTCCACCGATCCGGGTGCCAATCTCCCGTCCGGAATACCAGCTACTATTTCCCCGCCTGAGAAAATAGCTACCACGAAGGAATGGAGAAACAGATTTGACACTGACTCACCTTGGCACCACACACTTTGTAAAATCTAAAAAAGCAGTTCCGGTCAATTTTGTGCGGTTGATATTGACTTGCTGTGTCCAAATGTTTGCGTAAACACATTTGAAGAAGTCCCAGCATGCTTGTCTTCGGGACATTTTCTCAATTTCTTGCCCAAGCAGTGTCAAAATACAGCGCAGACTCAATTCAGAGCTTGGAGGGCACAACATCTATATGCTAATGATCAATGCACAGTTGATTTCTATTGACCTCCTGTAAGTCTGCAGTTAAATAGAAGTGCTGATTGCTAGCACTTTACGGGATTGCTACATAAATCTGTAGGGAAAAAACATCAGAAAGAGGCTACATGTATTGCGTAAAATTATACTGCAGAGGTAATATATGTCATTGCTTTGCCGGGAATGTTTTGCAATCTGGCATTATGCAATAAAAAAGTGCTTGTATCCCCGACTATATGTCAAACATGTACTCTTCATCTGCATGCATTGCTACTTCTTAAATGTAACCATGATCATCATTTTATCCCTGTCCAATAATACAAAAAATCCAAAATTTAAATTAAAATACCAATTTTTCCTTAGTTTGGTTGTATAACTACTTTTAACATCTGTCACAGCATCAGATCAGATTTGTTACACAGAAAAGTGGAAAAGAAAGGAAAAATACTCAATCAGCTCTCAGCCCAACGTGTCAAGTAGTGACTCAAAGTTCGCCAAAATGTGCAAAATATAACATGTTTTCAATAAGAGGACGACAGCATGTTGTGGTCTGATTTGTTCACAAAAATGTTAGTTTGGATAAAAAATTAGTTAGGTATAAAAAGGTAAAATTAACACTGGAAATTTGTCAAGCTGAATGGCCTTGAAGTCAATCATTTTCAAATTGAGAAGTGGGGAAGATTATTTTTGAAGCACTGGTTAGACCCGCCCACCTCACTCCCACAGCTTTCTGATTGGACGAAATCAATTCAAACCCTTGAGGCCCCTTATCATTGGTTTAACTATTCTCCTCCAGCAAATATTACTGGTAGTAGTAAAGCCAAGGGGAGGGACTGTTTAAAATATATTATTGTTGAAAAATACTTCCTGTACATTATGTGACAGTGTCCCTTGGTCCGAGATACACGTTTAAAAAAATTAATAATACAATTAAAGTTGCTGCCATCACCTTTAATGCTATACCCAACTTTTCTAAGCCATTTTAAAACCATACAAAACAAACCAATCAACTCGAGGCAATACGCCACAGATGCAGAGGGCAGAGAGCAGATGGAAAAGGACTATTGCAACACAAAATGAAATGCAATTATCATTTTGTTTTGTGCGTGTTTACCGAAAGAAACGCCTGCACGATGTCCGCCTTGATGGAGCTGAGCGGCTTGTCCCTGATGACGATGAAGATTTGCTCTTCTTTTTCCAAGTTGATGAAGTTACCAAACCAGGATTTTTTTGCAAGCCTGCAGGGCAATGACAAAAAGGTGTGTTCATTAATGCGGAGTAAAGAAAATGAGTAAATTGGCTGAGGGGCATTGGAGAAACAAACATGGAAAGCCCTCAGGTAATAGAGCCAAAATAAACAGCGAGAGATTTTCATGACATTTTGCATTATGGAGAATCAGTGATGTGTTTATTTATAAGTATGCCCATGTGACGCATCGTTACTGAGAGGAACATACTGGACTTTAACTAACTCAGAAAACCGTTCCGTCGTCCTGGAAATTAGCAGCACACAAATTATAACGCAAATATTGGACTAAATGGAAAAAGAGCTGACATTGAATTTGACTGTTTTTTGAGTATATACAAATCACAGTAGTTTTAGCAGGTTTCCGACTACCTCCTAAAAATGTATTGTCCGCTGGTTCAGCAAATGATCAAAATCAAATCTCTCCATTGTTGAAATATAAGTAAATATAGACTGGGCAAAATATCAAATTGTTGGTGTTTTGGTGAAACTAGAATATTGAGTTTTCGGTCTCTCTATTCTCTCTGAACATGTAGCAAATAACAACAGAAAAATACAAAACAGAAAGGTATAATCTTTCAAACATGGAAATACAGTTATATTTCTGCACTTTTGTGGTTAGTTTTAAGTGTCATGTAATATGCACCAAACAATACAATTGAAGAAGATCTCAGTTCGTCCTTAATTATGATGGATCACCACAATATAACCCAAATATTGTTAAAAAGAAAATCCAAAAGCGACATGTATGTTTTGTTCTTCGCTTTTTCCCAGTAATACATAATATTAGAAATAAGGAATCAGGGCCTTTAAAAAAAAATATATATATATATATATATATTTTTTATAAAAAATATCAGAACAATATTGCCCATCTCAATTTAGACTTGCTTGTTCTCTTTCAAAAAATTTTTTACAGCTAATTTGACAATTTTGACTATAATCCCGCTCTTTGATTGTATTTCTGGAATTGCATGAAAACAATCTACTCGCCAATAGTTTCGACAAAACATCCCCCTCCCTATCTGCGACAAGGTATTTCCCCGCTTGTGACGGTTTCTTTTTTCTCGCAGCCAGGTGGAAAGGGCAAAGCCAGACAGTCAGCCAAGCAAACAGGCATATCTGGGCCAAAGCTTCAGTAACCAAGCCCCTGGGAGCCTCACACACACCTCTCCCTCATAAGCAGCATCTATACTGGCCGCCTGGGCTCCTGCTCTGTACCTGGAGTCATTACCGGGTGGAACTCAGGGGGTCAAATCAAACATTCACAGATGCACATCAGGGAACGAGGGAGAAAGAGCAAAGCACCTGAAATATGATGTATGGTTATTATGCAGCTGTGGTATGAATGTACTCACTCTGGGGAAGACTCTGGAGTGAGGCTGGACATCTCCTCTTGTGTAGGAACTGTCGGGAGATAAACAGTGAGAATTTAATCTGAGGTTTAAAGATATTATACTTTCAATTTCAAATCTATACTCAACTAATAACAGTTTCTAAATTTTCTACTCATAGTTTTGCTCATCCACTTGCACACTCGCAAATGGCTTCCGGTAACAAACAAGCAGTTCTTTAAAGCTGGGGTAACTTAGAAAATTTCAAAAATGGACTAGTTCCTGGCTCTTATAAGAGTTTGGTTCAATCACTAGATTTCACATGCATATATTTTTGGCTTTAGCTCAGCTTTTTCAGGCAGAAAAGTGAAAAAGCGAGGAACACCCTTACTTATTCAACCCAATCAGCTCTCAGTGTCAAATACAGACTCACAGGGATCTTTCTAACAAGTATATGAAAGATAACATGTTTTCTAATAAGATTAAGACAAAATTTTGTCGTCTGTTTTTCACATTTAACTTGAACAAAACTCTTTCTGTTGGAAAAACTCCAAAAGTTAGGTGCCCCAGCTTTAATATTAGTATATAAAGCTGCTAACATGTACAGATGCTAACATAACTACATAATGCTTGCACTAGAATACACAGTACTTTATACTTGCTTCTTATTTTGCCAAATGTAAACCTTTTATACTTTATTTTTTATTTTATGATTATGTTCAAGATAGAGATTTTATACTTATTACTAGATACTTTGATGCTAGAGATTTTGTTTTATTATAATTAGTATAGCTATTGTTCACTTATCTTCTGCCGTGTGCTCCTCATTCCTACTGTGCTATAACTTGTGATGCAACACTGAAATTTCCCCACTGTGGGACGAATAAAGGATCTCTTAATCTCAATCTTAATCTTTTGTATTCCAATTGTATTATACCTTGCAGCTTTCTGCGGTGGAAGCGTGGCGAGCCCAGAAAACTGTTCTTGATGGTGTTGAGACGCGTTCTCCAGGGCAGTCCTCCAATGGACGGGCTGGGGGGCGGCGTGGGGGTGGGCGTCCCGCACGGGCTGTCCTTGGGCGTGTGCACTGGGGTTCCCTTGGGCGTAGGGAGGGGACTTCCTCGAGGGGAAGGGTGAGGGGTTACCTGTATGAGGGGGATAGATTTGGGAGCATGGTCAGTAAAGGGAGGAGAGGCGGCGGGTGCTACCGGGTGGAAGTGGTGTAAACGGATGGGCGATAAAGCGGGAGTAAGGGGCATGGAGAGCTGTGGGCTGGCCGCAAAGTAGTTCCGTCTGGTCTGGGGGCTGTTGGTGTAAGAAAAGGGGACGTGTTTTGGGGTGGGCGGCGGTAATGGCCTGGTCGGAGAGGTAGGAGTTGGCGGCATGGAGGAGGAAGGAAGAGGCTGCTCTGGAGACTCCGGTTCTGAGTTAATCACATCGTTGTTGCACGAATCAGGCAGCGGGTTGGAGCGCGTGGCTTGCAGAGGCTTGGGCAGCGCGTTGCACCTAATTGGCAACGTTTGGGTCTTGTTCAGCGACGGGGGAAGCAACAGAGAGTCGCAGTCTGGGGAGAGTGAGTTAGGGGTGGATATTCTGGGGCCAGTGCGAATGGGAAGTGGCTCCGGGGAAGGGCACGGGCTGGCGTTTGGAGACTGTGTGAAATCCGGGGACTGAGGCGGCACGCCAAATTTTCGGACAGGCTGAAGGTTATAGATCAACACGGGCACGCAAGTGGAAATAAGGAAAGGAAAGAAATACACCAGGGGATGCGAATGGAATGGATACAACAAAACAAACCAAACAAGGCAATATCCAGGCAGGCCAATTGAAGCATTACGGAGAAAAGAAAAGGAAAAACAAAACATGCAGTTAGAGCATTCAGTGGCTCAAAGAATTGACGGAACAAACAGATAAAACAAAAAAACTGTAAGAACTTGCACTGTTTTAAATCAAAAGGGGTGGAATAGGCAGGGAGGCAGACAGACAAGTGCAAGACACATTCCCCCAGCTATGAAGACAATTTGGTTTTCAATAACAAAAAGTAGATTGGAAGATTGCTATTTGCTACAAAATTCCCACTATCTATCACTGTTGTGTTGATTGCACAAATTCTAATAGTTAAATTGTCTGAACAATAGAAGCCATAGTTTCCTAAAGCTCCCCTGCCGTTACCAAGGGGGAAAAAAATAACCAATTTCTTTCTGTGTTATTACAATAGAAGCTTTTCGTGAAAGGTGTTTTGAAATCCATTTTCTTTTCTTATGAGCCTTACACATGTGGGCCTGAGAAAAGGATCTCTGTCTACAAATGTCTTGAACCTTGTTGGAAAAGTTTGGCAAAAGGGTACACAAAAATTGAACATAGTTGTTGTTATCCGCGACAATCCCTTAGCTGGATTTAGGAAAGAAAGAGAAAGTATAATAATAAGTCAGGAGCTTTATAGGAGAGCTCAGGAGATTATAGAAAAGAACTTGGAAATTATCATTTTAATATATCTTGTATTTTGGTTATAACAATAGACCACACATCAAGAAGAACTATTTAGGAACACTCTCTAAGACATGTGTGGGAATGATTTACTCTTTTATGGTCAGAATCCTCCACTCTTTGGGCATGTGGCTGTGATCATTGCACCAGTTACCTCCACATATGTCCAGCTCTACACTTGCACAGTGGGCAGGGGTAATGCATGCGGCTGAGAGCAGAACTTACCCGTGGGCTACTGAGAGGGCTGGTGGACAGACCGGAGGAGGCCCCGCTAATAGACCGCGACCTGTGGCAACGACACAACACACGGACAAGTCAACACACGAACAAGTCAACATGCGAACAAGCTCCATGTTCCTCTAAACACGCTCGGAGGTTAGCGGGGGTGCAGCGGCATATGGCACTAGTGCTACTGCCTCTTAGAAACACAACAGCTAGAAATAGATTTCACATGAGTTTTATTCACATCAACTTGCGGGCAATCTCTCAAACCAATTACGCCGCCAAATGAGTTTAAGTTTGCTGGTTAATTGCTCCACTTGGAAATCCATAGGCTAATTTACACATAGTGGTTTCTTTGAATTGGAATGAAATACCTTGAGGGAGCTCAATAGAAAGAATTCAATTTAGCGTACAATTTCACAAGTTTATGTTTGCATGCCATAATTCAGTGTTAATTGGGATTTGAACAGCAGTAGTTGTTGGGGGTAAAAGTAGTCTTAACATTACAGGCGGATAATGTGAAGAATATCTTTAACTATGTCCAAATGTGGAGCCAAAATGTGTTTAAAAATGCAAAAACTACTTTCAGATGTATATTTAATCTCTATGTGAATCTAATCTAGACATATCCTTTCTCCTGTGAGAAAATGCAGCAGGACATTTGGTTGTGGTCCATTTCTCATATTTTCATCGCAGATGTCGTCAATAACCTCTATGAGCGCAGGGCCGGCTCCAAAATGAACAATCACAGACCGATCTGTCTCCATCAAAAAGGCGCGCGCACACCCACACACGCACACACAAACTCACACACTCACAAGCTCATACATACACACGCGCACATACACAAGTACACACACAAACTCATACATATACAAGTGCACACACACACACACACACACACATAGGGCTGTCATAACAAGGAAACACCAGCTGCTCAGTGTCATAACATTGTTCCTGTTTGTCATTCAGTCCAGTGTTACCCTGAGTCTGTGCTCTCTCCGTTTCACCACTCATGCTTTGGGAACATGTGGCCAGGGAAGGTGTAGGCAGTTGTATTTTCTTTGCATCACCAATGACATTTGTTTTGTGTTTTCTAAGCTGCCAAACCTTAATGCACTAAACCTTAAAATTAGTGATATAACCGTACTGCTTTGAGAGCGAGGAACTAGTTAGATGGATTTAATTACATATTTCTATGTTTTGTGCTTGAATGTTAGGAACCCAAGCTTTAATCATTGATGTCTGCTTTCAATAAAACCAGTATATGTATTTATGTGGGCCAATTCACCTGTACATTTACTCACTGCCCTGACGAAGACTCTGGTCGAAACGCGTCGGTCATTAAAAAGAACACAGTTTTCAGAGTGCCTCCTTCTCCATTTTTTCTTTTGCTCACCTGTACATTTAGTTTGCTAAGGGCCATACGCACATGGACACCCCTGATCAAATTAACATGGATCAGAGACAAAACAAGAAACCTTTAATCTCACAATCCTAGCCTGCATCATAACTGGTCCAAATATGAATGAAATACTTCAAACGCTTTCTTCCCCTTCAAATTGTTCAAGTGTATTTTTCCTCCACTTAGCTCTCAAAACAGCAGTCAGGAGGAGTACATTACTCGAGAGACTTTAGAATAGTCCAGGAGAAGCCGCAGCACTAACAGCCACACTGAGAGAAGGGAGAAAAATAGCAAACTCCCACACTTTCTCTATTTTTATATGACTCCTACTGGCCCCTGCTGCGTAGTGGATACATCAGACAGAAAAGCTCGCACACATGAGTAGGCGGCGTTCAGACAGCGTTGGCCAGGACTTCTCCATCTTCTAAGAGCAGCTGGGCAGACAGTTGCTATCATTCACTATTCACATGGACATGCACGGACTGTTGTGACTGCATTGTGCACGCAGCCGATTGCACCGGAGCCAAATACGGTGCATCCTCGGGCCATTTAGGAGCATATTGTGGAAGCCGGTGGGCATCTGCTGGTGTTGGAAGAGCGGGCCTATAGACGGCTAATGTTGCAGATGGTGGTGCAGTACTGTAATGGGCTGTCAGTCCAGAGCAGAGATTTCACAGGGATGATGAATGGCACTTCACGGGAATGTTATTTATGGGGAAAAAGGAAAATGACACACAGCAGTCGTTTTGGTGATGTGCCGCGGTTTACATATTACGCTAAATGATAAAAGGGTGAGGGCGTAAAGAGCAGATATTAAGGTGGTACTACCAGGAGTGGACTACGAATACATTTTTGTACTTGACTTAAGATGAGTTGAATCAAGATTTTTGTAGTTTTCGACTGCTATTTTTTCTTGATGAACCTACAAGTGATTTCTGACCATTTTCAACTAATTTTTTCTTCTTTCATACAACAACTTATTGCAGAAAAAACAATAACTTGCCCTCACTAATGAGCAAAGGCATGGTCTCAAAATTAAGGTCTTCAAGCCAGTAAAACAGTATTATAATGAACATAAGTCAATCAATCCTCGCCAAAGTTTAGACAACTATAACCTGGATTTGTGTGTGACTTGACATACAATTTTTGTATTTTTGTTTCTTTAACATTACCATTCTAAAAGCATATTCATTGAAACTTAGAATTGCATTTTAAAAAATAGGGAAGAAGCAACAAAAAGTGTTTAAAATTTACTTCCCATTTTCTAGCCAGAGTAAAAAATTGGTGTGATTGTCCATGATTTCAACTGTATCGGAAGAATACAGATAAAATGATCTTTAGTGTGTGTGTGTGTGTGTGTGTGTGTGTGGCCACGACAATGCATTCTCCTATTTTCTCACCACTACTCTCAAAACTTGTCTCGCCACCAGAGAATATCGTCACGGCGATCTAAAATAACATTAAAACCGAAAGAACGATAATAATACTATCAGTCCGATCAGAGTGAGAAAAACACCAGGTCACCTCTCCCACTTCTCTCGTGTTGCGGTGTGCGAAATATACATTCGTCCATGGGTATAACTCCATCACATCGAGAGACGCGCATCTGTCTGATGAGGGACTTCGAAAAACAGACCATGAGGTAATTACTATTCAGCTTGCTTGACAATGAGCTCTTTTATCTCGCAAATCAACACGAACGTTTCAACAGAGTTCTGTTGAAACCCAGAGTAGTCCCAGGACAGATTACAAGATCACAGAATATCCCCTAAGCTCAGGCCCAAGATCTCTCTACAAGTGCGAGAGCGTCCACTCTAAGCACACATATTAGCTAAGACTCAATACACAACACATCCACCTACACCAAAAGGTAAAATCGTCGTTAAAGACCACATACTCTGAGACATTCAGCGAGTTCTCAATAGAACTCTGTAGCTCTTTTACAAGAGCAACAACAGTAGACACCTCTAAAGCAGAGCAGCGCACCGTCGGCCGCGTGCGCGCTAAAAAGCCACAAATAGCATAGTGCAATCCAAGCTAGAGCTCTCTCCTGACTAACCAAGTCACAACTAGCCAGCAGCGGCGAGGTAAGATGACTGCGGAGGCCTAAACACTGAGCAGTTTAGGCAGGCGGAGCGAGCGACGCGCTTGTCCGACGATCAAGAGCGAGCACAGTAAAATATAGAGGCGTTGTGGCTGCGTGATATGAGCCAGCGCTAACTAGAGCGAGACCTCTCTTCTCTGACTTGATGCGAGGAGCGCGAACCAGTAGTTCGCTCTCTATCCACAAACAGGCGTCTCTCTCGCGTAGGTGAGAGCTCCTCTGCTCGACCCGCTGTACTCCAACAAACACAGACACACAAGAAAAATAACTTCAACACACTTCTATAACTTAGACGACGAGTCTCTAGAGGCGTGATAGGTAGTCGCGTCGTATCGTTTGAAAAGACTCCTAACAAATATCACAAAATCTACTCCACATCACTGCGAGTAGATGATCTATTAGCTGCTACTCTGCGGGTAGTATGAGCTCGAAGGTAAGATTACAGGCGGAATAGATGTATTGGAAAAAGAATGAATATAAGATGGATGTGGTATTAGTTATGGGTTAGGGGTAGGTTTTATGTATGAAGTATATGGGTGTGATGGAGTTGGCGGTCACATTGAATACCAGAGCTATCACCAATGTCTTGCAAGCTAGTCACGGATAGATGACACATCTAACTTGTGTTGTATGTCTCAATTATGTCACCTTTGAAACATACACGCGCAGCTGGCGCTATCCGAGCAGGGTCTGACGACCAACACACACACCTTTCGTTCGTTCACACAAAGACATACACAGTGTCAGAGGAGCCCCATGAACACACGACACAATGGATGAGACAATCGGTTGGAATCTGCTGCATTGACAACGGTGAATTGTGTGATGGGACTATGTGTGTAATAAACATCTAATTGGGATATTGGTAGGATTATGGATAATTGGATAGTTATTGCGTAGATAGTGTGTATACTTTGTATTTATATGTGTGAGACGTCGTATATATGGGGTCGAGGTATAATTGACAGGATACATGAAATGCGAGCTAATGGATAGTTGTCTATATACGGGTTAGGCATATAATAATCTGACAGATAATCGGATCTATGTTCTATACTACAATCTCTGAAAGCATCCGTATTAACGCTAAATACATGTGGTAGGCTACACAACAATTTCAATCACACAGAGGCGCTACGCGCGTGCGGCAGAGGAGGTATTCTCACTGTCCTAAGTCGGCGTATCAATCATCTCTAGAGCATCGGCGCTTTCTGTTTCTACGTCTAGTGAGAGCGAGCAGAGAGCTTCACCCTATATACCGATAAAGTAGCGATGATAACTATAGACACACATCCACCCCTCTAGTACTTCACGAGCAGAGTTGAACAAATCACACAGTCACAATATCATAACAAACGAGAAATCTCTGCAAGTTCTACCCGTGCACACGACAATAGAGAGAGAGAAGAAACCATTGTCCGCGGAGCAAATAGGAAGCACGCTAGATACTCATACACACTCTCGAGAGCTTACACTGGCTCACTGATCAACAAACGTTAACAGAACACCAACCAGATCAGTACCCGCATCGCAAAGCGTCTTACTTCACCTCACTGTCAGCTCTCAAATCGGCAGTGTACACTCCCGCTACAACAGTACACACACGATAGCGTGCCAACTCCACAGCCGTCCTTCATATCATACGCGAGAGCTGCCGCGTTTTCGACCATAGTGAGCGAGAGCGGCGAAGACTTCTAACCAGAGAGTCCACTCAATAACTCACCAGTAGCAAAACTACGTATCTAGAACAGAACTCAAAGCGTTAACATTGAGAGAGAGAGATACAATACAAAGATCACCATCTAACATTCCACGCGAGAGCATCTACTTCTCTCCGAGTTGTGCACTGCCTTTACCTTTCTGCGGCTCCACGGCGTCTTCCAGACACAAAAAGAACACAATAAACACTCACAAATACCAGAGTTCTCTATATATCTGCGCAAGTAGCTTAGGAAAATAGAGATCCGGAACACACGTAAAGCGTCAGACAATTTTACGCTCTAGTGTACGCTAGTACGAGGACACACGTTAATACAAAAATGTTGACTACTCGCATTGTACGAACGCTGGAACATCGTCTCAAACACACGCGCGTTGTACTATGACACAACACTGTCATAACCACTATAACATACGAAAGAATAAAATACAAATCTAAAACATACATAACGGTCTACCATACCTTAAAGCGATCTTTATCCCCATCTAACACAATCGAGCCTCGTTGTCTACACATAATGTCTAGACTACATATAGACCACATCATTGGACACAAAATCAGATATGCATAGTACAATCATCACACTCAATGCGAGCGACGTAGAAGAAGTCACACAAAGCTTCATAGACAAGTACTCTAACAGTCAATATAACACATCACCGAACACATCATCACGTGAAACACACACACACACATATCTATCATTAGAAAGGTTTAACAAAATCACACAATACACGACAAAAGTGAATCATCCTCTCTCATTCACATAGCTATCTAGATAATATATCTGAGCGAGCCTTATAGTACTACACTTACTCTCAGAATAATTCTATTCTGATACAATTGACATCATTATGAGATCTTTTATTGTCAATGAGTCTCAGGCTACGTTCACTATACAACACAACTGTCAGACAAACATAATCAGATACGCGAAGCGGAGAGCGCGAGCGACCTATGTCGTACTTTACAACACAATAGACGAAATGCTTCTATAAATCAAGATAGAAGACATCTTAAAATAAACAGCCTCTAAATGGTCAAATGAAGACCGAGCTCAAATATGATCCATTAATGCTAAGAGTATAACTACTAATATCAGATCGATATTAGCTGCACACACATGTGTTCACGCGTTAAAACACATGTAGCTGGATAACTAAGTATATGCCACATTACGCGAGAGCGGAAGAGGAAATCTTTTTTAGAGTCATTGGGGATGTAGGGGGGGCTCAACAGAATAAGGTTGCTAGGTATTATGCAACGTGAGAAATAGCAAGATTTTGATAACAAGCGGATATGAGAAAACAGTATAATGACACCAAATACTCGAGCGTGCGATGCGACGATCACACAAACTACGAGAAGGAGCGAGCGAACAATACTTACAGAATGATATAAATATCTGTTTTAGGTATTGTAGTGCCCATCGCTCCTGTCCGCGGAACAGCCACGACACCCCCACCACCCCCCCGCTCCCCCTGCACCAGACCTCTCTATCAGGCCTGTCGGTGCTCCACAGACCCCCCCTCACACAACCGCCTCCCCACCCCTGCCCGCTCGCATTGCCGTGAATCTAACCGTTGAACGCTTCCTACGGGCTGTGGAGATTGCCTGTTTGGGATGAGGCAGTGGTGTACCTTCCATTTCATAATTGAGAACATTGCTTTCTTTGTGAATGTAGAGCAACAATACATCTTTGGGGCTAAAAAAAAGTTCAGGCAAACGTAGTATTTCATCATGAAAGTTGGCAGTTAAGTAGAAAAGTATTAGGGCGATTTCTAGAGCTGGATATCTGTCGGAGCCTGCCGATATAATACAGATCTATAGATAGAGGGGTTTTTCTAATTCTATACGATTTAACTTGAAATATTTCTAAATTATATGATACAATTCACTTCAAAAAAGCTATTGGCCCTTTACCTAAAGCTCAGCCCCATTCTAATAATAATAAAATACTAATAATACATTTAATTATTGAATATATAATGATTTGCCGGACAAGAGATGACAAGATCTTGAAGTTTCCCCAATTTAAATTGTGCGGAAATAATCTGATATTGAGTAGCAAATATAAGTACTTGGGACATTTTATTACTGATAACCTGTCTGACGATGTGTTACGGCAGTGCCACATGATTTGCCGCAGGTTTGGTGCATGTACAGATGAAGTGAAAAAGACACTTTTTAAAGCTTATTGTACACCGTTATATACGGCACATCTGTGGTCAAACTATAGACAATCCAGCATGCGGAAGCTAAATGTGGCATACAATGACTGCCTAAGAATCCTGTTCAAAAGGCCTCGATGGGAGAGTGCCAGCCTATTATTTGTTTCTTCTGGGATTCGAACTTTTCGTGCTGTCCTAAGAAACCTGATGTACAGATTTATTTGTCGACTGAATCAATGTCAGAATGGGATCATATAGAGCCTGATCAACATCAGAATCAGTGACACACGCTATCAGTCTGAACTGTGGCGTCACTGGTACAATAGTCTGCTGTAATCATGTATGCTTATTTTTATGATTATTATTGTTTTTGTTTTTGTGTGATGTCTTTCTTATCTGGACTTCGTGTCTGTAATAAAGTTTAATAATAATTGTTGTTAAAGTCAAAATATCAAGACTAAACCTATATTGTAAGATAAATGTTTACATGCCAGAAGATATCTACTATAACAAGTCCCTAGGTAGGCAAACACAGTTTTTCCTGAAAAAACGAATAAATAAATATCTAATAAAAAACAAAAAAAATCTATATCATTAAGCATGTATTTTCTTTAGCAAAGCCAGTGATTTCCTCTTCTCAAAAACACTCTATAAACACTGTAATAAAGAAAAGCCAACAATGGCAGCGACTATAACACAACTAAAACATTTACTGCCCAAGACAACAAATACATTTTTTATTTCACATTTTTTTTTTTAGATAAAACATACACATTCTTACATATCTAAAAAAAGCTTTGTTTCATTGGCAAATGTTGGTGTTGCAATGCATTCAGAAGAAGCAAAAAATAGGTTACTTTTTGGAGTAATTATATTATAGTTTTGCATTTCTTTTTCTTCACATTCGGTAACTGAACTTTCCAACATGCAACATTTTTGAGTTTTCTAGCCCTCAGTCAAATGTGTCTTTATTTAATGATCCTGACAATCTACACCAGCGTCGAGATATACGCGTAGAAAGAGCAAGTACGTTTAGGTGCCGCTGTGAAACAAGGCGGAATTGTTTCATTTATTTTTAACAAACCGTCACACATTTATCACGCGAGGAAGACAGGGAATAATCAGAATGAGTGCCTCTAGTGTAAATGTAACACTTTCTACGCAATCTTTGGTTCTATACCTCACACCTAAATTACGTGACGTACGTAGCTGGGTGTAAATTAGTTGATAGTCTAGATGTATTTTCACGATCACAAACTTGACATATAGCCTCGCATTTTTGCATGCTTAAATATAAAACCCCAGCTCTGTTATGTTTCCGTAGTTACCACACTTTGATATGTATGCGTGTTCATATCCACAGAAGCGTACTCAGACAAACCCCGATTGATCAGATCAGGCCGAATCCTTCTTGAAAAGCGCAACTGTTGGACTTTCTAATCCAATCACATCTTCCTCCATATTATATACATTTATTTGGAATATCAAAGGACGGTGAATTTATTGATTTTATTTTCTGCATATTTCACAGATAGATCTATTTCTACATCAGTCTGACAATGACACTCAACACAAGAGCAAGGTGTTGAGGTGCATTTAGTTGGCCTAGAGGACTTCAGGAGTGGAGAGACTTTCTATATTAATTATGACCAGACGGTTGGAATAGAGAATAATGGACTGACACTTGCATTTGCCTCTCACAATGGTCATTATGGTAACGGGACGTGTTGAGGACTCCTACTGTAGTTGGAGTTTTTATATTTTTCCATTAGGATGAACATAATGTATAGTTGATGAAAAAAAAGTCACCTTCTACAAGTCTGTAAAGCACTGAACGGAGCTGAGTCGAAAGGCAAAGCTATCGATTTAGAGTTCAGTCTACGTCCCCACCCTCACCTCTGGTCATGAGCTGTGGGTAATGACCGAAAAGAGTAGATTGCGGCTTAGAGTGGGAGAGATTGAGGTGGATCTGTTCGGACGCCAGCTTGTCCCAACAGAAGGAGACCAGGAAAAAAGTGGAACAAAAAGAAAGAATGGATGGATATTAGTTACATTAAGAGCAATGACTGTGGGAATGCTCAGGACTAAATTGCAAATATTAAAGGCAGTATAGACTTCCAGAGCTCTGTCAAAAACATAACAAATCAAGAGCTAGATTCACAGATAAGGATTTGTCTGTGACCCCAACCGTTTGTACTGAATATCTTCTTCTTTTGTGTTAAATTTAGTCCATGCATTGGCCTCACCTTACACCAACTACTTACTTGCTATTATTACCTTGTACAATACAGGTCTTATATGGAGTGAAAGTATTTCCTAAAAATTAATCCATACTGTAAAACATCAAGTCAAGACTTGATGTTTGAAATTGGCTCAAACATGCACAATATTAGTCGCCTCACCTTGGAGCTCCGTGAGAGCGACCGTGCCACCATTGCAGAACTACGAAAAGAAGTCCTTCGTCTCACCGCAGAGTTGAATGAGAAACAATCTCTAGTGTCCAAACTTTTTGAAGTCGCTGGTGGGCAGCATTCACGGCTTATGTCACTGAGCGCTGCATATTGTGACACTGTCGTGTGGGAGAGATCCGTCAGCTCCGGACCCTCCTGTTCTACACCTAAGCGCCCGGTTCCGAATAACGAGCCCGCGGATTCCGAGGAGCCATCCTGCGCCGTGGCCCATGTCCTTAGTCTGGCAAACCGCTATGCAGCCCTCTCCACTGACATCCCGGCCCCCTCAGCAGAATCCCTGGACACTGCAGCGTACTCTACTGCTCGAGGATCCAAGTCCACTACGAGGTAAACGCTCCTAAAGGAAGCAGTCCTCAGGCGAAAGAGCGGTCCACCAGCCATGTTGGCCTGTTCCCCTTCTTTGACCCCAGTGCAGCAGCCTCAAACTGGGGTAGCGAGCCATCATTACCATCGCTCACCTCCACCGGGTCAGCAGCAGCGCCCAGAGCCAGCCCCTCTCACCGCTCCAGCGTCCCCGAGCACACAGCGTGGGTCGCCTGTAGCTGAGAGTCAGCACCCCCGCTCCTCCTCTCCATGTGTTCAGCGGCGCTCAGGCTCGGGTCCTGCTTCGGGTGAACCCGCTGGTTCCGTCCACCGAGCTCCTTCTCCGAGGCCGCGTCCACGTCCACTCTTCGCCCCGACCACTCTGATTATTGGAGATTCCATCGTGAGACACGTCCGCTTCTTTAACGCGGTCACTCACTGTATTCCCGGAGCGACTGTACCAGACCTGCTCATACGTCTCCCTCCTCTGCTTCAGTCCCTGCCTGATACCGTTTCCAAGGTAGTCGTGCATGTGGGAATTAACGACATGAAACTTCAGCAGTCAGAAGTCACGAAGAAACATTTTATGGATCTGTTCCACCTCCTTCAATCCACGGGATTATCTGTTTTTATCTCTGGTCCAATCCCGACTGTAAACAGAGGTGACTGCCTCGACAGTCGTGTTGTGGCGCTGCATATGTGGATCCAGGCTACATGCAGCTCTTTTAACTTTGTCTTTGTGAATAACTTTGCCCTTTTCTGGAAACGTAACGAAGCCTATCGTCCAGACGGATTACACCCAAACAGACACGGTAGCAGCCTGTTGATGGACTACATGCGTTACGTTGTTCAGCGTTCCCCGAGGGGGGCGTGACTGTTTACATCTGAGCCCCCTCGGACCCCACCGCACTCCCCCGCCTCCTGCTCACCAGCACCGGGTGAGTACAACGGTGCAAACACTGCTCCCTGTCCGTCTGGCAGTGTATTACCAGTCCAAACACTGAACTGTGCTGACTCCCTTCTGACTCTGGGAGCTAAAGAACAACAAGGGTTTTCACATTTTAGGCCAATTGAGACTGTGTGTGTTCCTCGCACCAGCTCAAAAATGTTTTTAAATTCTAAAAAACGAAATCAAAACAGGACAGCAGTTAGACGGTCCAACTCTGCAAATCTAATTTCTGTTCCCTGTAGAAATCAATCAACCACATTAATCGACTCTGACGTTATTTTTAAACTTGCTATGCTTAATAGATCTCTATGTAACAAATCATTTTTAATTAATAATTTTATCACTTCTTATGATCTTGATTTTATGCTTATGGCTGAAACATGGCTGGACCAAAATACAGGAAATGCAGTTCTAATAGAAGCAACACCACCCAATTTTAAATTCGAATCCGAAGTACGAGAAAACAAAAGGGGGGGAGGCATAGCTGCAGTTTTTAGAGAGCACTTTGTCTCCCATAGAATGCCCCTTGGAAATTTTTCATCGTTTGAGTATATTTCTTTTAAAATGGAACAAAAGCAATCTTCTACTCTTTTCATTGTCCTGTACAGGCCACCACAGTCATGTTGCGATTTTATTGACCATTTTACTGAACTACTTTCATTCGTGTGCACAGATTTTGATAGTTTAGTTATTACAGGTGATTTTAATGTACATGTTGATAATGTTGATGACAGAAATGCAAAGGAGCTGGCTTCTGTATTTGAGACCTTTGGTTTCATTCAGCACGTGAGTGGCCCCACCCACAGCAGGGGGCACACTCTTGACCTGCTAATTACAAAGGGGGTTAATGTATCAAATGTTAATGTAGTTGATGTTGCTTTGTCAGATCATTTCTGTGTATTTTTTGACATGTGTTTTGCTAGCAAACCACCAGCTGAATTTACAATTGTTAGAAGAAGACACATACATGAAAACACAGGTGAACTGTTCATGGGAATGCTAAATTTTGAGAAAACTCCATGCTCTACTGTTGATGAATTGTATAACTCTGTCACCACCAGTGTTCTGACTGTTCTGGACGCCATTGCTCCTGTGACGGTTAAAATAGTTACCAGTAAGAAAAAGGCCCCATGGACTAAGGCAGACTCGGTCAGGGCACAGAAGCAAGAGTGCCGGAGGGCCGAACGGAAGTGGCGAAAGTCCAATTTCCAGGGCGATTATGAAATCTTTAAAGATGAGTTGGGTGAATTTAACCGGGTTCTACGAAGAACAAGAGAAATGTATTTTTCTGACATTATTGGAGGTTGCAGTAACAATTTTCGTGTTATGTTTTCAACAGTTGGTAGATTAACAAACCCCCCTGTAAAGTTGCCCCTAGAATTTTCCTCTAAATCTAGGTGTAATGAGTTCGCACAGTTTTTCGATGACAAAGTACAAGGAATCAAAAACACTATCACCTCCACAGCACGTATAACAATGCAACAGCCAGAGAAGCTTTTTGAGCTAACTCACTTTGCACCTGTGGATACTGAAACTGTCAAAAAGATAATCATGAGTCTGAGCTCCTCCACATGTAGCCTGGATATATTGCCCTCTAAATTTCTGAAGTCCGTCCTGAGCAGTTTGTTACCTTCACTGACACAAATAGTAAACATGTCTCTGTCGTCAGGAACATTTCCTATGGCCCTAAAAACAGCAGTCATAAGACCTCTCCTAAAAAAGAGCAGTCTGGATCCTGCGGGACTTCAAAATTATCGCCCCATATCGAATCTGCCATTCATTGGAAAAATTCTTGAAAAAGTGGCCTCCCAACAACTTACTGAATTTTTAACAATGAATAATTCTTTTGATATGTTCCAGTCTGGGTTTAGACCCCACCACAGCACTGAGACCGCTCTAGTGAAGGTAACAAACGACATTCGACTTCACACTGATGCAGGTAAAGTCACAGTTTTGGTCATGTTAGATCTTCAATCAATCAATCAATCAACGTTTATTTATAGAGCGCCTTTCCTACACAAGGCAACGCAAAGCGCCTCACAACCCATATAACATCATGCATAAATCATCAAACATTAGAATTTAAGTAAACATAAAAAGACAGATTAAGAGCACAAGATATATAAAATCACAGTAAGTAGTTAAAAACCGTAAAAAATTAAAATCACACAAGGGATTACAATCATAAATAATCATAAATAATCATAGCGCATTAAAAAGATTAAAGATAAAAACAAATGTACAATCATTCACTTGTATGCACAGCTAAAAAGAACTGTTTTCAGTTCAGTTTTAAAAACTGCTAGAGTAGACGCCTGTCTCACACTCTCGGGAAGACGGTTCCAGACTCTAGCTGCATGAATCTGAAACGCAGCCTCCCCATGTCTAGTTCCGACTCTTGGCACTAACAGAAGTCCAGTCCCTGTGCTCCTCAGAGCCCGAGTTGGTTCATATGGCACCAACATGTCGCGGATGTACCCTGGTGCGAGGCCATGGAGAGACGAATAGTACACAAGTTTTTAAAATCTAAAGCCACAGGAAGCTCAGTGCTTGTGTACCTGAACTAATCTCTCCATCAGGCCTTGCACCAGAATACATTAGTGTACATGTTGGCTGTCATTTGAACCAGCCCGGACTTTGAGGAGCACAGGGACAAGCCTCCTGCTGGTGCCCAATGAGAACCAAAATGGGGGATAAGGCTGCGTTTCAGATCCATGCAGCTAAGATCTGGAACAATCTCCCTGAAAAAGAGGGAGGCGTCTACTCTGTCAATGTTCAAATCCAGGTTAAAGACTGTTCTGTTTGCCTGTGCATACAACTGAAGGATTTTATCTCCATTTGTAATGCACTGCTGTCATTTATTTATTTATTTTTTTTAAATTTCTTGTGTAACTTTGAAAGTGTTAATGGTTTTATTCTTTTGTGTGATTTTATTGTTTTTATTGTGTTTTAATCTTTTGTGTGATTTTAATGTTTTAATTGTGATTCTGGTGTTTGTTTTATGTGATGATTTGTGATGTGGACTGTGAAGCGCTTTGTGTTGCCCTGTGCATGAAAGGCGCTCTACAAATAAACTTTGATTGATTATTTTCTCATTCCAAAAAAGCCGTTAAATCACTTACTTTGTTCCAGGGCTCACTCGAAAGTTTCTGTCCTGCCGAGCGCCCCAGAGTTCCCCATCTGGTAGTGGACTGTATTTCAGAGATCGAACGGCGTGGTCTTCTCGAGGTCTGTGCTCCCCATCTCCCCTGGTCCATAGTAGCCTGATATTTTAACACGTGTTTCTTTCAGAGGGGCCTGTACAGAGTTCCCGGTGGCGATAAAGCAGTGAAGGAGCTTAAGGAGAGGTTCCTCGCTGGAAAATCGGCTCTGAATTTGGAGAAAGTGGAAGACGTGCATGTGATTTGTGGTCTGCTCAAAGACTTTCTGAGGAAACTCCCGGAGCCTCTCGTCACGTTTCGTTTGCACCCGCGTTTTATAGAGGCAGCAGGTGAAGAGCGCAGGCTGAAACGATGGAATGATTTATTCTCAGGGTCCGACACAGCAGCTGCTCTGGTCCTGAATGGTTTAATGTTGACTCGATCTGTTTGACCAGAGCTGGAGGATGAGAGTGGAACTGTGATTCTCTACAAGGCCATTTCTGAGCTTCCGCCACAAAACCAGGACACTCTGGCTGTCATCCTGCTGCACCTGCACAAGTACCTTTTTTTTTTATAACATAAGTTTTTTGTAGTTGTGTGCCTGCCATACATACGTACTTGTTGTCTATACATCCTTGTAACATACTTAATTCTCTTGTCTTCTAGAGTGATGGTGAGTTCAGAGTGCCACATGGACCAGAGTAACCTGTGTCGGGTTTTTGGCCCAACACTGATAGGACACGCTTTAGCAGAACCTACCCCCTCGACAATACTGAGGGACACAGCCTCTCAACTCAAGGTCAGACTAAAACGAGATGTCTGGATCCACAGCGGTCCCAGTAAAAGTACTTATTAACCTGGTTCTGTAGGTGATGAGCCTATTACTCTCAATTCCTGTTGATTACTGGAACAGAGTTCTTTCTCAAACTGGACAAACTCCAACATCTGCTCCCTCACTGGTCAAGATGACGAGTCAGGATGAAGGACCCAGTAAGTGAGCACAGATCATTTACAGAATCTCCTTCTACTCCATTAACAACTTGTCACTCTGACTTGTGCAGGCCGTTTGTTTAAGCCGGTGACATCTCCAGAACTCCGCGCTTACAAACCCCAACAGGGTTCTATAACCAGACGATTACGCAGGATCAGACACGGTGGCAACATGTCAGTGTAATGTGATTTATAATAAAACTCCTTAAATTATTCTCAGTCAAACTAAGTTTCTTTTGTCACAGACTCCAAGCTGATCCAAGTAGACGCTTCTTCACATCTCCAAGTTGATGTAATTAAAAGAGAACAAATCAGATTTGTGTATGTAATAAATATAATCATTTTTGTGTATACTTTATTGTCCCCATTGGGAAAATTGTCTGCATGTGCTGCTATTCAATCATGTCATCACTCATTAAAGTGTTTTAAAGAGAAAAGCTGGTAATAAAGTGCATTTGAACTGGAATTGTGTTATCTTTGCCCAATAGGCTTAATGTAGTGATCATAAAATCAATTTTCCATAATTTAAATTTTTTCTGTTTTTAAATAATAGTTTAGAGTTGTATAATGCATTATAAAACTATTTTTTTCAGGGCTCTATAAGCAATACACTAAGTAAAGACTATTACTTGGACTGAGATGAGATTATCTGAGCGGGTGGTCTCCTCTTAACTTTACTGTCTGAAAAAGCTGATCCAAATCGAGGGCAGAAATACAGTCTCTGGCAGAAATGCATGCATCTGAAAACTAGTGATGGGTGAACTCTTCAGAGGTCACTCACAGCTCACTCATGTGGACCATAGACCGTATACAGACGTTAGTGTTTCTTACGTCATTTTCAGTGTAATTTTCTTTAGAGGTATCCATACTTTTACTTTTGATAGGCTGTAACCCGGAAGTGGGCGGGGACTGGGTGTAGAGTGGGCGGGGCCTGGGCGCTCAGCTCAGGCTGGAACGATCAGCACGCGTCTGTGTCAGAAGCGGCTTGTCTGGTTATAAACTGCTGATTTGTAGATCTTGAACATGCCGTGTGTAGATTTGACGTGTGGTTTTATATTAGCTTAAGTTTATTAATAATGGTATATTTCAGCGCCACAAGTTTGTAGAAAGAATTCGCATGTGTGGTGTTTCTGCAAGAACAAATTGTACTCCGGACTCGACAATGGACTTTGTGGTCAAATTAACCAACCAAAGTCAGGGAAGAGATCGCGTTTTCCGGTGAGTCGAGTTTTGCATTGTTGAATCTCGTAGGTTGACAACTCGGCTAAAGAATGCGCTGGTGTTTTCAGGGCGACCCAGTACACGTGTGCGCTCAGCGTCTACCTGCTCAGGAACTCCTCCAACAAGAAGGAGCTGGTGTCCAAGCTCAGGAGCCTGGAGAGCCACATGAGCGGGGGCCGCAAATGTACGGTCTCTGTCATTATTCATGTATTCACTTTCTCACGCCTGAACGATCACGGATGAGATCATGAGGGCTTTACATTGTGTGTAAATTTTGTCATTACAAGTTACACTGTTGCCACTTTCCCCATCAGTTGCAAAGTTTCAAAATAGAAATTATATTGCAACAAAATGTGGTAATTTGTAACCACTGAAGAGTTGTAGTTTTTTCTGTGACCTTTGGGCAGAAGTATTTAACTAGAATACATGAACTATCTTGTTTTTCTCTGTGTCCTTGCCCTTTGAACAGGGCTTTCCATGTGTATATGAGTGTAGTGGGTAATGATGGATTTGTCTCTATGACAGTGGAGCATTAAGTGAACAATTCAAAAGAAATTGTAAATCCAAACACGTTTTCTGACCACAAAATAACATATGTAATAAAATCCATATTGCTAGTAACTTGCTTTCAACAGTTTTCACATGCATGTATCTTTTAGATTCGTTTTTTCAGCCCTCAACCTAAAGCTTCAAATAGTGACTCACAGGGCTCTTTCTACAAGCATTAAAAGATATGTTTTTAAAATGAAGACTGCAGGATTTGTCTGATTCGTCAAAGACATTTTAGCAACATTTTTAAGACTTCCAAAATGTATTATTTTCTGAGGGACAGAAGTTAGGTACCACACCTTTAAAGGCGAATGCCACATCTTTCCAAGGGCCTTCTGTTTGAAAGTACGAAAAGTTACGCAATACATCTTTAAAGCTGTAGTTGAACTTTAACTCATGTTCCAGAAACCTCCAGTTGGGACTAATAATGACCCAATACGGACTCGTAATAGAAAGAATTTGGTTTCTGGAGTTTTAACATGACGAGGACTACCGCTTGTTTGTGCTAACCTTCATTCCTCTTTTGTCAGTGTTCAGATTGGGGAACACTCTCCACGCCATTGACGCTGCCAAACGGACCGTGCGCATCGCTGACCCCGTGCTGTGCCTCTCGCTCACCGCCGCCAACCTCAGCCGCTCCTTGTACTTCCTGTGCGACAACCTCCTCTGGCTCCGGAACGTGGGCCTCCTCCGGGACGTGGACAAGGAGCGCTGGAGCCTCCACGCCTCCCGATGCTACTTCTTCTCTCTGCTCATGAGTCTCATCCGGGATTCTTACGTCATCGGACAGCTAATGGTCCAGAAGGCCAGAGACAAGGGCTTTCGAAGGAGGATGAACGCGCATCTTGAAGAAAGCGCAGAAGTAGCAGAGACCGTCGTACCTCAATTAGACGCACTGATTTTTCTTCTTCTCCAGATATTCAGATCGCATCCTGCTGTAGCCCTGGATACACTCAAGAATATCTGTGATCTCTTTATTCCAATGGATAAGTTGGGCATTTACCGGTCTAATGCGGGCGTGGTCGGCTTCTGTGGTCTTGTATCTTCTGTGATTGGACTGATGACACTTGTACATCCTAATCTAAAAATCAAACCATGACCAATTTTTACCCTAGGTACAGTTGCAGCAGTTAGGAGTATAACTTAGGTTGTTTTGATTTATCCTGAAAAAATATGCATAGTTGACCAGGCATGTCACAATAACTCATTTTTATAGGTTATTTGCTTCTGTAACTTATTGCGATAAAAAAAATGTATAATACAGATTTTCTATCAATTTATTTAAAAAGCAAGTAATATGATAATCTATGTAATTGTAATATAAAAGTTGCTATAGCAATAAATTCATAATTTGATATTATTGCAATATTCACTTGTTTCAGACTATAAAAGTGAGGCCCAAAATAGTGTTTTATCCATCAGTTATTTGACAATGAGTGTAAAACTAATATTTAAAGCATGTTATTTCTCTAGAAGTATTGTAAACTCTTACTTAGCCGATATTTATTTCTCAAAAAGGGCACTGTGTCATGACTTTCTTTTCTGAATGAATCTAATGGCGCTTGAATGTTTAAAATGGGATTATGCTGAGAGAAGATCGTTGATCAAAAACATTGACCAATTTAAAAATACATTATGTTTCTAGCACTTAAATATATCAAACTGAAAGGGCAAATGACGGCTCAAGATACATTTGGTCAACAAATGCAATACAAAATAATAATAATTTGAAAGTAAAGAGTATCAAGAAAAACAAAATCCCATTCTGTACATCATCATTAACTCAAGACACTGGAACTTTTCTATTGTAATATTGTACTTAAACATGTGCTTTGTTTCATGTCTCCTTTTCTGATTGTGACCGAGCTCTAAACAATTATTTGAGATTCATTGAAGAATGTGTCAGTCCTTTTTTTTTTTTTTACACGACAAAAATAACACACTAAAATCATACATATTATTCAAGGTTGATTTATTGTTTTCAACCTCAGGACAACAGTAGAAAAACATGTTTTAAAAAAAGGGCATAAAAAAGGTCTTTTCCAAAAACACAACACAACTTTAAAGTACAACGCAAAGTGGTTTAACCAAAGTTTCTTGTATCATGTTTTGAAAAGGCACTCGCAGTTGTCGATAGCATTTATAAATATGTAGTTTTTCTATGTTTGATTGATATATCACTGGATTTATCGACACAGAATGATTGTGCAGTCATGTGTGGCTCAGTAATGGCCTAAATGAACTATGTGAGTCCGTGCGCTCGGTCGTAGTCTGTGATCAGGCCTTTGATGTGAGACAGTTTCTGGTGAAGGAACTGGCAGCGCCTCTTCTCGTCCCGATAACCAGGGAATCTCTGCAGCACAGAACAAAACCATTCAGAGCAATTCTGTTAAGTCTTTTTAGGCAAACATTCATAAATGGAAATGCCTCTATTAGAATAAAGAAATGCATTTAAACCAACCATCCTTTATTATTTCTCAAACTATTTTTTTTTCTCTAATTTTACTATGTTTAGATCAGTGGTTCTCAACTAATGAGCCACGTCTTGAAAATACTGCAAAAAAAAAACATTTTTATGAAAGAATTTGCCCTGGTTTGAAGTTCTTTCTTCAGAATTCAGCTACACACATTATTAAAGATAAAACATGAAACACAGACACCTGAAGACAAAGACTCGCATACAAACTACCGACAAGCTTATAAAAGACTGCTATACCAGTTCTTCCACAAAGGAGACTGGTGCCGCGCAGCAGAGGACCTGAGGTTCACCAGTGCCACCACCATAGATGCATTGAGAGGAAATTCAGAAGACTAAGAAATGTTCCTTAATGCAAGTTTTTCTACTTATACTTCTTGAAATTATATACTTCACTTATTTAAAATTGATCGATTGAGTATGTATAGTGTTCATGCTTTGTAGTTTTTTTCCAAGCTTCTATGGCAATAATTTGTGAAAATATACTATAGTTTACATTTTATGTACTAAATTCAAATATATATACCAAGTGTTATATGTTGGGTCCTGATCCGTCCCTCTTTCAGATGTATTACATCTGTCTGGTTATTCCCATGTCACATATGTCTTTCATCAATTTTAAATTGTATGTTTTTCTAATCTGCTATTGGCATTTTTTTTCTTTTCAAATCAGACAAAATGATATGTGTTTTTCTGTACAAACATAAATTGATTCTATTTAAGCGCTATGCACAATAGTGCATTCAACATGTCAATCACATGTATCAATTGATTTCTCAAAAATACTTGGAAGACATGAATTCGAGGTAACTTTAGACCTAGTTGCCCATCTGGCCTGGTGTCCACTCACTGCTAATTTCACAGAGCCATGTTTCATGCCATACTGGGGACATTCCAGTCAAAGACTATATGACTGACAATTACAGTGCCTTGCGAAAGTATTCGGCCCCCTTGAACATGTCAACGTTTCGCCACATTTCAGGCTTCAAACATAAATAATAAAATTTTAATTTTTTGTTGTGAATCAACAACAAGTGGGACACAATCGTGAAGTGGAACGAAATTTATTGGATAATTTAAACTTTTTTAACAAATAAAAAACTGAAAAGTGGGGCGTGCAATATTATTCGGCCCCTTTACTTTCAGTGCAGCAAACTCAGTCCAGAAGTTCAGTGAGGATCTTTGAATGATCCAATGTTGTCCTAAATGACTGATGATGATAAATAGAATGCACCTGTGTGTAATCAAGTCTCCGTATAAATGCACCTGCTCTTTGATAGTCTCAGGGTTCTGTTTAAAGCGCAGAGAGAACCATGAAGACAAAGGAACACACCAGGCAGGTCCGAGATACTGTTGTGGAGAAGTTTAAAGCCGGATTTCGATACAAAAAGATTTCCCAAGCTTTAAACATCTCAAGGAGCACTGTGCAAGCAGTTATATTGAAATGGAAGGAGTATCAGACCACTGCAAATCTACCAAGACCCGGCCGTCCCTCCAAACTTTCATCTCAAACAAGGAGAAGACTAATCAGAGATGCATCCAAGAGGCCCATGATCACTCTGGATGAACTGCAGATAACTACAGCTGAGGTGGGAGAGTCTGTCCATAGGACAACAATCAGTCGTGCACTGCACAAATCTGGCCTTTATGGAAGAGTGGCAAGAAGAAAGCCATTTCTCAAAGATATCCATAAAAAGTCTCGTTTAAAGTTTGCCACAAGTCACCTGGGAGACACACCAAACATGTGGAAGAAGATGCTCTGCAGATGAAACCAAAATTGAACTTTTTGGCCACAATGCAAAACGATATGTTTGGCGTAAAAGCAACACAGCTCATCACCCTGAACACACCATCCCCACTGTCAAACATGGTGGTGGCAGCATCATGGTTTGGGCCTGCTTTTCTTCAGCAGGGACAGGGAAGATGGCTAAAATTGATGGGAAGATGGATGGAGCCAAATACAGGACCATTCTGGAAGAAAACCTGTTTCAAGATTTGTATTTGTTAAACCAAGTGAATGGTTTGAAATTATATTTCTGGCCTTGTGAATGAAACTGTTTTTAAGTCGACTGGAACTGTTCAGTAAATTCTGCAGTCTCCTCCCTGAAGGCATTACCCTGACGAGCCTGTGTGATGGGTGCGTAGGGTCCCTGGTGATTCTGACGGCTTTGCGGGTGAGACGGGTAGAGTACATGTCCTTAATGGTGGGGAGAGGGGCTCCACAGATCTTCTCTGCTGCTCTCACGATGCGCTGGAGGCTCCTTCGGCAGGAGGCAGTGCTGGTGCCGTGCCACCCAGTGATGGAGCTGGTCAGGATGCTCTCTACAGTCCCTCTGTAGAAGTTGCACACAACAGAGGCCGGGACTCCTGTAGCGCCTCTTGTGACGCCTCCACTGTGCTGCAGATGCGTGGGGCCCTCGGTGACCTGTCAGCGCTTCAGAAGATGATATCTCTGGATTTGTAGGTCTTAAATACTGCTCAAAAAGCCTTTAGCTCAAATGCTAACTGTGTGTTTACTTTTAAAAACACATCCTCTGTTCATTGCTAGCAAAGAGCTTTGGCAGTAAAAAATCCACTGAACTCCACAAAAACATGGCAAAAATGTACAACAACATCTTGCAAAACAATGTGGATCACAAAAACTGCAAATGCAGTTTGCAGAAAAGGGTAGAAACGTCACCTTGTTGGAGTCTGCAAAAGACCTGAGACTGGGACGGAGATTTATCTTCAAACAGGACAATGATCCAAAACATAAAGCCAAATCTACAATGGAATGGTTCACAAATAGACGTATCCAGGTGTTAGAATGGCCAAGTCAAAGTCCAGACCTGAATCCAATCGAGAATCTGTGGAAAGAGCTGAAGACTGCTGTTCACAAACGCTCTCCATCCAAAATCACTGAGCTCGAGCTGTTTTGCAAGGAAGAATGGGCAAGAATTCCAGTCTCTCGATGTGCAAAACTGATATAGACATATCCCAAGCGACTTGCAAAAGGTGGCGCTACAAAGTTTTAGCGCAAGGGGGCCGAATAATATTGCACGCCCCACTTTTCAGTTTTTTTTGTTAAAAAAGTTTAAATTATCCAATACATTTTGTTCCACTTCAAGATTGTGTCCCACTTGTTGTTGATTCTTGACAAAAAAAAATATTTTTGCAAGGCACTGTATGTGGAGATGAAATACATACCTTCTTGTATTTCTTGTACTTCTGCATGATCCGATCTTCCATAAGCTGTTGAGGAGAGAGAAAGTATTGGACATGTATCCTGGATTTGGAGCTGTCTGTAGTCTTGCTTTATACCTTGTATTCCTGCGTTCCTGGGGAGAGGGTGTTGATCTGGGAGGCCATCTGAATAAACATGTCGGTGACTGTCCGGATGTGGTTGTGAAGAGCTCTGTACTCATCATACTCTGCGCTGAAGTCCCCCCGGTACTGCTGCCGCTGCTCCATCGAGGTGATAGGTGTGTATTTTCTAAAAGTAAAAACTGTTTTAACACTCAACATCCTGAAGGAGGCACTGTAGACCAGTGTAAGTCATAGATGGTATATCGATAGACAATGCTGAGTGCTCATGGATGAACTTTGCTCCAACTCGATCTGATTGATTGATCATTGATTTACAATGAAAAATAAGATCAAATAAGATAAACCTTTATTTGTCCCTCAGTGGGAAAATTGTAATGTCATATTTGTGCACACCAGAATAGAAGGAGAAATAAGAACATTAAGATTATGCACACAAACAGGATCAATTATTTAAGGAATATTTACTACAATAAGAAGAGTAAACTCCTCTAGCTCAGTAAGTACGTGTCCAGCACTCCTAATTGTTCAATGGTACCTCTTTCCCTGTCTATTATAGTTAATTTATTATTTATTTGAGACGTGTCTGTAACAGCTACAAATTTAAATACAATATAATATAATGGAATTAGCTCAAAGATCAATTGAAAGGACGGGATGGGGGAATAGGGTTGGACTGCAGTAAACACATGCAAGCGACCAGGGAATAGGAGATCTTACATTAAATAGTCTGGCGGTTCCTCTATTCGACTGTCACGTGTGCTCTCCGGCTCCCGTTCTGTGAATAGTAAAAATAGAAATAAATCCTCAGTCCTTTAAAAAGGTAGTCACATCAGCTTGTCTCCATGGAGATTTTACCACTTTGCCGAGAAAAGTATGCGTTTAAGTGTATTCCTAATTATACTAAAAACAATGCAGGTTTTCAAACTGTAAAAATGAAAATAAAAAAATTCATATTCTTAGTAGTGACAGGTAAAATCGGATTGGAGTTTACCGTCACACATGATGAATAACAAATACAACATGCAAGCCATTAAAGCTGGGGTACCTACTGTTTTGAGAAATACAACTTGTCGAATGGATGTTTTTTTTGTTTCCTTTACAAAGTTCTATTGTTGTGGTTTGCAAGTTAAGGAGCCCAAAGTGAAGATGTCTTTTACCTTCTGTGTTTTCTTGTGTCTTCTGACGTGGGCTGCTCTCGATCCAGTCTGGTTTCAAACGCGTTCTCTCCTTCTCTTTGTGCTTCTTATGCTTCTTCTTATAGTGGCTGTTAGTGAACGGTGGACTGTCCATGCACGGGGCTCTGGGCAGAGGGGAGGCGGGCAGGACCCTCTCTCTGTGGGGCGAGGCGCTCACGGTGGTGGAGCCTCCCAGTTTATGAGGGGACGACAGTTTGTGAGGGGACGACAGGGGGCTGGATGCTGGATACTGCAGCCGGACGTGTGCGCCGTTCTCCGCGTGGCGAGGAGAGGCGTCCTGACTCACATCCAGTCGCTGCTTCTTTGGGGTTTTACAGTTCAAAAAGGCAGGGTTCAACGGACGTTTCTATACGACAAATACAGAGAAAGAATATTATGAAAGGAATGGTCACGTGGACTCAGCCAGGCCACATTCAACATTCAAGATTAAGAGACCCTTTCTTCATAGCACAACTCTATAAAAATATAATCACTATCTAATGAAATACGATTTACTAGAATGATGCACTCGTTTGTATACATCTAGATAAAGCTGTAATAAACTCTAGTGCGAGAATATTGAGGAATTAAGTCATTAGCTCTGTGGGTTCATGTTTAACTGTAATGTTGTCATGTCCATGGGCAAGACATTTCATCCACGTGTGTGTGTGTTTATCTGTATGTGAAATGAGCCAAAATCCCTAAAATTGTGTAACTAAAACAGTTGTGCAATGTAAATAAATCAGCAAACTGAGGTTAAATAAGTAGTATCAACCAATTATGGTATTTTCTCCACAAAAACATAATAACTAATGGTCAAAATATACTGGCGCTACGGGATTTTTATACAGTTGCCATATTAGTTAATAAAACATGGGCAATACCAATGAATATGGTCTTTTGAAAAACCATTACCACAGATTTAGCCGGGCTCAGTGGAGATGGCGAGTCTCCGGCAGCTCTGATGGACGAATAGTTGGACTGAGGACTCCTGAGCTGACCCATGTGGAGAGGCGCAAGTTTCCTGAAAACCAGTAAGGCACAAGAGTGAGACTTGTGCATAATATTCTCATTCTCATTTGTTTTTTGTTTTTTTCAGTTATATTTTGATACTTTGTGATCCTCACCTGATGAGCAGCCTGTGGATCAGCGCCCTCTCCTCCTCCGTGTATCCGGACCAGTCTTTCTGCACTTGTCTGAACAGCTCCTCCTTCAAAATGTAGCTGTGGTCTTTTGGATTCAGAGTGCTGACCTAAGATATCATTATGATATCAATTTGATAATTACACATTTTGAAAACATTTACGCATGCCTAATCAGTGTAATGAGACCCTAATTTCTTAATTTTGGGTGCCACGTGGCACCCAAATGTCTGTGTACATTTCCTCCAGGTGCTCCAGTTACCCCTACCAATAAAAACATTCCATCACTGTGTGGAGTGAGAGGAAAAGTGGCCACAACAATTGTAAAGCGCTTTGTGAAAGACTGCGAAAGACCCAATACAAATAAAGATTACTTACTTACAGATACCAATAACAATGACTCTTCTTATACACTATGCAACTTTGACCTGGACATTGGAATGCACCTCATATGCTACTAAACCGAAAGGCTTTTAAATATTAGTTTGAATTATTTGCATTATTAACTGTTTGAATGTTATTGTTCTTGTGTATATACAGTATGTTGTTAGTTTGTGTGTCCAGGGCAGTCCTCCCACCTCCTCCAGTGCTGTGCTCAGGTCAGCCTTGTCTTTGGCACTGACCCCATCCCGCTCCAGACTTCTCAGCAGCTCTGGTTTGCGGAGGGGCTTCAGGGCGAGGTGGTGAATGATTCTCTCCAGTAGAGGGCGCTGTGCGGGTGGGAACAAGGTCCTCTTGTAGCTCGGAGAGAGTTTGTTGGAGCCATCTGTTCCTGAGACTAACGGCTGCTTCCTATGGGCCTTTCCAAACTTACCTAAGCGGAAAAAAGATATTACAGAATGGATATCTGCACTTCTGAAAGCCTGCTTTTACAATGTCACACAATCAAAGAGCGAGTAATTATGACAGTATGTACATTAATAAATAACATTTTCTCAAAAATGTATTTACACATTACGCAGAATCATTCAAGTCTGATTCGTGTCTCTTATACTTTTGTAATTTGATCTAATTTAGATGCCTCGTGTAGTAATACAGGAAACTCGCCGGAGTTAAACAGTAATGGATAATTGAGACGGCAATAGAACAAATACTTTGTTGCTTACAAGTGGGTCAGAAGGAGAAGGCTATTAAAAGTCACACTTTGCATAATGACAGCGTAACAAGTCGGGTAACAAGTGTGACACTCATACAGACAACGTTTTTGGCTTTTGAACAAGCAGGGAGATCCTTTGTGAAGTTCCATCCATCCATCCATTTTCTACCCTTTAATCCATTTCTGGGTCAGGGGGGTGACAGTCAGAGATGCCACCCAAGTCTCATAGCACCAGCCCCTCACTGACCCTCTGCAGGTGGTGAGTCCACAGGAGGACGGCTGCTCTCTGAGTGTGAGCATAGCCTTGATCTTTCAGTGGGGGCTTTGGGCAAAGTGGGGTTAAGTGTCTTGCCCAAGGACACAACGACAGCAGTCATCAGTGGGAGTCGGTGGAGAAGGTGTAGAGGTGGGAATTGAACCCACAACCTTCAGGCCTGAAGGCCAATGCTCTACCAACTGAGCTACTGTCGCCCAGCCTTTGTGAAGTTGTCTTTGAAAAAAGTTTGAAAACGTGGATGACAGACTTGCTGTTGTCCAGTATGAAGTGTTTCCCTGGTGTTCTGAAACAGTCAGTCTGCTCTGACTGTAGATGCCTGAATATTGAAAGTCTGAAGTGTATTTTGACTCTATTGTTTTGACACATTCCTGTCTTCCCTGTGGTGAAAAGCCAACATGGGTCAAAACAACACGCAAGCCTTTCCCTCTGTCAGCCAGCGTCAACACTGCATTTCAACACGGATCTTCAGTGTTTAAAGGCTGACTGTAATATTTACTTAGTCAATATATAACCTTTCTTTCCAGCCCTCATAGAAAGTAGACACCAGGAAGGAAGAAGGAACTCCGCAGAAGAATCAGTAAAGTGCTGTGAACTAACCAGGGGCCAGTTCAATCTCAATGGCAGAGCGGCTCCACGTGTCCTTCTCCACCTGGGACATGCGCTCGCGGGTCGTCTGGTACGAGTCGTCAGTGGCACAGATCGTTATTTTGTCCTGGATACTGCCCTTTCCCTCCAGGAGATCATTGCCCTCACTGGTGAAAACAGAAGAATATGGTGTATTACTAAAAAACTCACATAAAGAGCCATTGTTCCCAGGTTTAAAATGTCTTACCCTGAAACATATTGCTGGATGCAGACGAAACTGGACTGAGGTTTGTCTTTGCTTTCGTTGGATAAGTAGAAGGAGAAGACTCTAACTCCATCAGGATACTCTGGAGTCGGGGCTGGGATCTTCAAATACTGTAATACAATAATGTAATGCCTTCGATTCAGTATAAAAAAAATACATATAAACAAAGAACTACATTTACAGTATACTTGGGACAATACAATATTAGCAAATAAAATATATATGACAAAATGTTAAACTTTCTACAAAATATTTGTCTGATTGTTTAAAGACAAGAGCATGACAACTTTATACTAAAGATGTTTTACTTGTTTATAAATTTAAAAAGTTGTACATAGAGTTTTCGCCTGAGTTGTCTCTCTACCATGATTGATGATGAGGTGGTGCTGGCTGGGCCGTGCCCCTGGCAGATGTGGCTGCAGCACTATAGCTGCTCTGTCACAAATGCCCAGTCATGCAGCAAAGCCACAAGCACTTTTTTGCAATGCCGACACCCCTCCTCCCTTTTGAAAACCGAACGCATGCCACTCACCCTGCCCCCATTGTCTCCTCTGCTCTCGCATATGCACAGTCAAAACAACGCATGAAGCACCCCACAAGGCCATGGCCACTTCACTGAATCAAAAATAGGTCAGAACGGTAACTGTTGATTTTCTCATATAGACAGCTTCGAATGAGGCTCACGCTAATTACAAAGCATCCTCATTACAGAAGTTTATTGAATGGTTGATGACAGATGTCAACATAATTATGATGACAAAAATTATCTGTAATCATTATAGAAATAAAGACCACTACAAGATGTCGGGGTGAATTAATTTGACAAATAATTGCAAGTTAACTATAATACCATAGTCTGTGGTTACTGTTGTAAGAATCATTTTAATAGACAATTATAGACAAACTAAGCATATGTTTACTAAATTAATCATGATTCTGAAATTGTAAATATGCATTCCACTTTAGTAACCAAAAAGATTAAGTTTTGACTTTCTAGGTAAAAAACAAATGGTGAATAATTTAGAACATAAAAAAACTCCATGGCACTCGTGGTCAGTGGTTTAGAAATTTAAAAAGCCTTTATTTGCACATGGCTGTGAATTAAAATACGCACCAACGCGTTTCAGCCTGACTTGGCCTTCTTCAAGGTGCAAAATCATGATTTCCACTTTACTCTGTAAGAGCACTGGGATACATATATCAAAAAAACTAAAAATATCTGAATTGTGATTTTATTGTTTATTTATATAGATACTATTATCTGAAATAAGTTCGTCTCCCTGGATGCATCGATAAAATTAAAAAACTGCAGATATAAACGTTGGGCTGTTATTTGCACATATTATGCAAGGAAAGACAAGTATATTTTTACAGTAAAGTTCATACCCAAGGAAACGCAAACTGAATAAATGTATCTACCGTATAGATCTCAAACAGAACAACACAAAGAGACCTACATAGGATCAGGTATCAAAGAAATGTGCACAGGGCTTTTTTAAGACTTCCATGTGTCTTCTTATCCAGTCTGTAATAAAAACATTGCTTTTTACAGATTTGTTCAAAATATCTGCCTGTCTTATTGATTTTTGGATTCTAAACTATCTGCATTTGCCATGACAAGAAACATCCACGCATTGGTTTGTGTGAAAACTTCAATTAAATGCACAAGCCAAACCCTGTGTCAGTCATAAGTAGCCCATGCAAAAAAAAACGGTTAAATTCTAATTAGTGTCAATGGGGTCAGACGGATTCAGCACGGCTTTCTCCTCGTCCATGTTGAGTTATGTGTGTTAACATGTGACACAAAAAACCCACAGTTTGAGTTAAATGTTCATATGAAAGACATTCCAGAGCTGTTTAACAAACCCACCATCTGCTTCTTTTTTTATTTTACTATTATTCAATTTCGTGGTACAATTTACACCTAATTAAAACAATCAAAGCAATGAGCCGCTGTCTCAGTCTATTTCTGTCAAATGCATGAATGAACTACTTCTTCAACAGGATTTCTTTTTTTTTCGCGCCAATGATCAATTCCATAAAAGCAATTTCCATCAAATATGTGATAGGAAATGTAAGATAATAAATCCATCCTATGTATGATTGTGATATAGCGTGTCTGAGACGTGTGGGTAGAATTTAGTTATTGAAATTGTATTAAATGTAATGTAATGTGAAATATGCACAATATTAGGGTTAAGTATCCGTCTATTGTAGATTATAGCTTCAGTTTTCATAACTCAGGAACTACAGGGGAAAAAAGCAGTTTAGCTATAACCTGTAGTACAAGGCATGTCTCCTTTCTTAGTCAATGTAACACTGTCACTGTTCAAATAAAGACACGTCATACAATAATATCCCCGAAAACATAAAATAAATATAAAGAAATACACGCGAATGGTGGAAGGTTTTGCTAAAAGAAAAAATGATCCCTCCATTATTACACGGTCATACTGATTTCTAGCATGTTCTCAAAGGGTTCTCGGTAAGGTCTGGAGAGTGTTTTTGCTCCGCTCACAGAGGGGGGTTGGTAAACGGCGTGGAAGCTGAGGGGGTTGTGGAGGGGATGGGCGAGCGACTGTTATGCCAAGCAACGCAAGAAGACACCCCCAACCCCCTCCCATAGGACAGACAGGACCCACCAGCACCCTTTCAGTCCAGGATAAAGGTTTTGTAACACACATTTACACCTACAGCAAACATGCCAACACAAAAACAACACAAGAAACACAATTAATGCAGTGTAATGCAAGCCTTTGTTTAAGCAGGATGTCACAATGATGCATCTATTTCCTCTGTCAAACATTTTAGTTGATGCAGGATGAAACGGTCATGTCTGGAGGACTCTAATTACTAGATTATTAAACTATTCTGCCAAAAAAGGTTTTGCAATAATAGTTGAATCGCTTCTATAAAAGACAAAGGTGTAGCTCAGAGGCCTAGTGTCCATCTACAGCGGTTAGTTGGGTGATAAATACAGTATTATTTGCCCTGGTCAGTACAAACAACACTAATGTTCCCTTAACAAAATGTGTTGTTGATGTGAAATGTTTGAGGATTATAAGGAGGCCATGTGTTGCTCATAAAATAGCACATAAACTCAACAATTGTTTTTCAGGCTGAAAGAAAACAGAATTTTAACAAAAGCCAAGAAATGGTTCTTTCCTTCCTGTCTTCAATCAACAGCATTTCAGCCACACTCCCAATGGCTCACGGAACCAATGTTGTGACAAACAAGTTGAATGACGTGTTCAGCTTTGTATGCATATATAAATGAAATTAATCTGAACGGATAGTGGATTCAACTGTAGTAAAAGACAAAATAAGAACAAAGACACTCAGCTTATTGACTCTTCCTGCTTAGATGGCTTCCTGCTTAGATGGCTTCAATGCTAGAACTTTACTCATCAGTCTCACATCACACTATTCATTTGGGATTGTAATTAAAATAGTTACACACTCAGGTCATCATGGTTCTAGTCAGTCTCCTTCATGGTAACACCATCCAGCCCTATTCTCAACAGTACATTATACCACATACAGCCTTTCATATGTGTAGTTTGCACCTTTGATAGTTTAGAAGAGAGTAGTCAAGTTGACAAGACTATAATAAAAGTTTGTACCCCTTGGTTTCCTCTGAAGCTGATGGTCGGCCGCTGAGACACTGACACCTGCAAAGAGACAGCAGCTCAGTGTTTGGGTCAGAGGAAAGAAACACAAGCTCAAATATGTTCTCTACACCTAGTACTACAGAGGCTAATGTATGGATATATAGATATGCTTTTTCCCCGATATACAGACTTACAGTAAGAGGCTCAGATGAAAGCAGGTGAGGATAAACCCTTCCCATATGTTAAGACTTCCATGAGATGATGATCTATAGCCGTGGCATAAACGTGGTTTTCTTGCTTTCTCTTTCTGTCATACTGTCATACATACACATACTTCGTTTATAGGTGATTACAACTGGGGAATGGTTACAACTGCCATTCCCCGAAATCTGATTCATCATATTTTCAGTAATTCCTTGGAAGCAAACTTTAGTTACAAGAGTTGTTGTCAATACGCTTCTTGGAAAAGGCAACCCCGAGTCAGGAGCTTCATCCACAAAGCTCTCCCACCCCAGTGTCCCCAAACGACCCCAGGGTCTCACCTTGAGGCTCTGAAAGCCCTCCAGGGTCCGCAGAGCCGTGTCAGTCAGTTTCACGTGGAACATACTCTTGTTCGTCCAGCCCTTTTGTATTTGTCCGCAGGAGAGTCCATAGCGATGCTCCTGCCTCAGCGCTGCCATGTCTATAATGAAAGCAGCAGTGTGACCCAATGAACGACACGCGCGACGCGCACCCCGTGACGTCATAGAGGGAGAGGAGGAGTGCGCGCGGACCGGCGCGGACGGATGCCATTGCACAAACAGCCACAACATGTTTTCTTTCTGCAGACTATGGAAACTCATCCAGGTAGTTTTTATAATGTTACAGAGTCTAACATCCATGTGTTCTCTCCACCGCAAGAGCACGTGGTGTTGCACAGCTTATGTAAAAACCCGTTATAGTGGACAATCTGTATGCGAAGTGAGTTTAAACATGTTTTCAATGTTACATCCTGAACAAACAGACTGCACTTCCACGACTTTTCCATGCTGCTCCATGTTATTGGGTTCAAACCAATAGAATTCTGAGAAATTATCCTGAAATAGTTAACCTCAAAATTTAAGGTAGAGCTACTCACATTTTTAAAATAAAATATCCTAAAGAATTATATACTCATGTAACTTATTTAATGCAACATTATAGAACATTTACAGAAATAGTAATGTTGTGGACATGTTCATGGACAAGCACAATTTCAGAGTGCATATTTAAAGATGAGGTACTGAACTTTCAATCAAAATTTTTTAAATACATTCTTGTTCATAGTTTGATTTTACCGCTAGTTTTCATACATATAATTGGCCATTTTTCATACAGAAGAGGGTTAACAGAGAAGACAACCTGACCCAGCCCAAAGCGACTACAAGCTCTTTCTACAAATTTACGCAAAATACAAAATGTTGTATTTAAAAGTTAGATGAATTATATAGTGGTTTTCAATTTTTTTACACATCCTCAAGATTCATTCATGTTGTCTGTTTTCGTTTTATTTTTATCTTGTTTCTGTGCACCACGTTGGGAACTGTTTATAAAAATGTGATTCATAAATTAAGGATTGGATTAATAGGCAGCACATATTTTAATATTTAGATGCATCAATTCAATCACCACTGTGTCAGAATGGAGTGCAAGAACCATTTCAGTGATATCTGTCCTTTTTTCTCAATAGAATCAACGTTTTCATGTTGTGTGTGTCCCAGTGCATGGCAGTGTGTGACAGTTTCATGGACACAGTGAAGTCAATAAGAAGCTTACCGTCATTCTGCCAGATTGGGTTTTTCTCTTCTAATCCTAGAGATTAGCAGTGGGCTACTGGCTGTGGTGCACATACACACTTTCTTTCCAATGCTCTTTACTGTACTTCAGTGAAATATGTAGAGCCACGAGGACAGAGAGGAGGTCAGGGTGCTACGGGAACTCAACAACAACAACAACTACTACAACTGGAGCTGCTCACTTAAATGGAACGTGGAAGACCAGAGTTTCCTGGCGTTGTTGCATATCCGCTGTGCATATGTCTCCTGGATTAAAATGGAGACAGAAACAGATCTCACTTTTCAGTCGGCCGGGTTAACAGAAGAATCTCGTGATCTTTACCACAGAGACACAGAGACTCTTTATAGCGAGGATATCACGCAGCTGAACCAAAGCAGCCAGCCGGACCAGGATCAGGACCAGGATCAGGACCAGGATCAGGACCAGGATCAGGACCAGGATCAGGACCAGGGTCAGGACCAGGACAGCGGCAGCAGCAGCAGAGAAGGATGGAGGGGACCCACTTTGAGAAAGACCAACAGCTTCAAGATGGTTCGTTTCCAGGAGCCCTCACAGGACGAGCCTGTGACGGAGAGAGACAGCACCACAGAGACCCTGTTCCCTCTGCATGTGGTGGGCGAGTGGACCAGCAGCAGTTTTGAGGAGCTCTTTGTGTCTGAGGAATGGCAGGACATTACAGGTGAGTGTCAAAATACTTGTATACAAGATCTCCATTATTCTCTAAATGTTACAACTATATAATTTGCTTGTTTGAGTATCTTTTCATTCCTACTGTTCTTGAATGTGCAAAGCAACACTGACATTTCCCAGTGGGACAGATATAGTTTTATCTCAATGTTTTAAACATAACTTAATGGAACATAACCTCAAAAAATAATTAGATTAAGAAAATTGTCATAATTTTGTGATTTTTTTTGCAGAAGTAAACAAATATTTATATCACATTCTATCATTGCAATATGTGGGAAATGGGCAGCAATCTAGCTTATTCTTGCTTTTAACTTGGCCAAAGCACATTGGTTTGAATCCATGCTTTCATGAATGAGCAAGACAAAGTGAGATTATTCCAACAAGTCAGCCTGTTTGGTGAGATATTTCATATTTTCACAGCTCAATAAAGATGTATGCAGCAACATGTATTGCCAAAGGGGAAATGCGTGTTGTTCAGAAACTATTTTCCAGTCATTGCTTTTTTCTAAAAGCCTAAGGATCTTCTGATGGAAGTCAAATGAACTACAGTCGCCCTCATTGATGCAGCCCCCACACCTAAAACCAAACAGTAGACACTGAGTGGAGCCTGTTTTCACAAGCCGCCTGTGAAAAGTGAACCCTCCCTTTGACAGAGTCTTACTATAATCCAAAAGATCCATCAAACTATTCTTCTCTCTGTTGTACAAGCTGTACTTCTATACATCCTTTGTAAAGGTTAAATGCTATAAAGCTGGTTGTGTCCAAGGCTGTAACATGTTAATTGAGTAATAACAACTTAACTTATTATTGGAGTAGTTGTCTAATGCAGTAATCAAATCATAGTTTTTGTAAAAATACTTTAAAACACTACTTGAAGGGGATTTATAGGGCTGTAATCAGAAATGTGTTTTTAGTATAAAGTAAAACAAAATAGGTTACCATTTCCTCGAATGTTTGGAGAAAGCTAAACAACTAATCAATTGATCCAAAGATTAGTAGAAAGATCGGCATTTCAGATCAGAATCAGAATCATTTTTATTTCAACCTTTTATCAAAATTTGTTAATTACAGCTCTAAGTGGAGACTGTGTTTTTCAATTATGTGATTGTGTTTTACACAGAGGACCGTCTCTTAAGGAAAAAGGTTCTGGAGGTGGGGAGCCCCCCCTGTCCCACCTGGAGCCAGGAGGTGACTGTCAGGATGCAGGCCGTGCTGGAGGACCGCACTGTGGTGGAAAAGGACAGTAAACTGGTGTTTGTGATCGGAGAGGAAGACGTGAGCCAGGTGAAAGCAAACACTATCACCATTTATGCATTCATGTCTGCATTTTGGAAGTTAGAAAAGAGTGGGAAAGTGTCTTGTTGCCTGCAGGCTCTGGAGGAGTGTGTGCTCTCCATGAAAAAGGGGGAGATTGCATTACTGTTGGCAGATTCACAATACGCCTATGGACTTCTTGGAAGGTAACATTCACATCTCAGACTGTATTTTATTTAAAAGGAGCTTGAAAATACAACAGTATTTTCAAGCAGGAATTGTTTCACAAAACTAGTTTTCACTTGAATGAATGCTGATGATTCACACACATGAATGTAATATTAGGATCTTCATTTAAGTGGAAAACTTAAGACAGGTCTGACTTCATAGTATTTTGGCATGATAGCCTCAGTTTAGTGATCAAATACTGTATGTGTCTGCAGAATAGTCTATTTTCTTGCATCTAAAGATCCTTCAGAAAAAAACAGTTGCAAATTCATCTTCATACATTATTAAGACATGTGGCACTGGTATATTTCCATTTAATTACATTAGTAACAAACATTTGTAAATTATTTCACTAGCTTACAAAGCAAAAGCAAAGTTATTCTGCTAAACTATGTGATGGCCTTTTCAGGGTTTCAACATCCAAGTTACAAGTCTGGTATTGCCATTGTAAGTGAACAGGAAGTCACAAAATTGGCATTAGGTGAAATAACAAGTTACAAGATAGTCAAACATATATATAAAGGTATGCATAAAATTGCATGCAAAATTGTAATATATAAATTCACGCAATAAACACGCAGGTTATCAAATTATTTTCCTGAGATATTATATAATATAGTAGCAGAAGTATAAAGTGACAACTATATTTGGCACATAGTGAAGAAACTGTGGAAGTCGTGGATAAATCATTTTAAATCAGTGTTAGACTCTATTGAAACAGTGTGTGATGTGTTCCTCAGAGAGCATGACATTCCAGCCTGGGCCCCTCTGCTCTACCAGCTGCAGCTCTTAGACGTCCAACAGAAAGCAGATCCTCAGACACTGCCCATCGCTGAACGCATTCGCATCGCTAACCAAAAACGAGAGCGTGGAAACTTCTACTTCCAGAGAGAGGAGTTCCACCGTGCAGCCAGAGCTTACTGCATGGGTCTCGAGGTGCTCTCCACAAAGTCTGCAGGTAACAGCTCTTCATTACAGCTTGGCATCTTTTTAACAATCCATGTATTCCCTACTTGTAAAAAGGCCTGAAATAAGTTTTATTTAATGGTAAATTACACATTGTCAAAGCCAGATCTCAGAGGCTGATTCTGAAGAGAGAGTGTGTGTGTGCGTGTGTGCGTGTGTGTGCGTGCGTGTGCGTGCGTGTGCGTGTGTGCGCGTGTGTGCGTGTGTGTGCGTGTGTGTGCGTGTGTGTGTGTGTGTGTGTGCGTGTGCGCGTGTGTGCGTGTGTGCGTGCGTGTGTGTGTGTGTGTGTGTGTGTGTGTGCGTGTGTGTGCGTGTTGGTGCGTGTGTGTGTGTGTGTGTGTGTGTGTGTTTGTATCATTTGTGGTGGTCGGGGGCCAATTCTGCAGAATGGCATCTTTGCCATTCTGCAGAATTGAATGAGTGAAATTAATTATACAATGTAAAACATATTTGGTCTACATCAGCTGTTTAAATCTATGACTATTTTAGAAAAAGTACAGTGTTTTTTTTAACTACAGTACATCAAAACAAACTGTATGTGAGCTTTGACAGGCTCCACTTTTCTGCAGAATCTTTGAATAGATATTATTATATTATTATATATTATTATATATTATATATTTATATATATTATTATATATTATATATTTATTATAATTTCCATCAGTCAAACAGATTTCTTTCAATGTATATTTCTTCCCATGTCATTTGTTAAAACACCATTGTGCTCGCTACATAACAACATGTGGCTAAAGACAAATGATTTTTTTCAGTGGACAAAACTTTGAAATTTGCTTTCCCCAAAGGAGCAGTCATATCCCGGCTTCCATCTTTTTCTTACTTCCTCATAGACAATAAATAAGTTTCCTGTTTCCGACAAAAGCCTTTTGCTCTAACTCCTAATACTGAACTAAAAACACAACTTCTTACAAGGGCTCTAACAAGTTAATCAATTAATCGTAACTAATATATTATTCTAGCATAGAGTTGTGCTATACTTAATATCTTGTGTTGTGTGGGACTCTTTCTGTTACTTGTGATGCAACACAGAAATATCTCTAGTTAGGGACGAATAAATCCTAATCTTAATCTTAAAAGTAATCCAGATAATGCTTGGACTTGAAAATGAAAAGTGTTTTTTTTGTTGCGACATGACATGATTGAAATATATCAGAACAAAACATACATCAACTTTTTATTGATAAGTGTGTTAAACCTGGACATATACAGTACCAATGATCAACATGGCCTCAAACCATGTCACTCTGGCATTGGATTACAAGTGTAAATTACCCTTATCTGCACCAAGTTTTTAAATAATAGTCTATTCACGGGTCTTTCATGATCCAAACAACAACAAAAAACTGCCGGACTAATTGATGACAATCCGTGCTTTTGCTTACCTGCAATGGTGACGGCTTCATTTCGTCCACAGGTGAAGCTGGAGCAGATGAGGAAGAGATCAAGGACTATCGCCTCAAATGTCTCAACAATCTGGCCATGGTGCAGCTGAAACTGGAGCAGAACGAGGAGGCCCTGAAAACCTGTCTCGAGGTTCTGCAGCTGGACCCCCACAACGTCAAAGCCTTGTTCAGGAGCGGAAAGGTGCTTGTGCTCTCACATATGCAAAGCAGTGCTGAGAGGTGCATGCTGACAGTTTTGTCTTCTAGCTCCTGTCAGATAAAGGCCAATATAAAGAGGCCATGGAGCAGCTGAAAAAAGCTTTGAAACAAGAACCATCAACTAAGGTGAGATAAACACATTCACAGCCTTTTACTCAACTCTCAAATTACACTAATGTTGAATTACACAGCCTTAGATCATTTTGTCTTGTAATTATACTTGTAATTTTAGTTTGGGTCCTACATGAGCCCAATTCACAAAAGCATTTTCTCCCTACTTTCATTTGCTCCTTATTGGTATGAATGTTGTGTTCTGTATAATGCAATTTGTCACATACTTGCTTGATGCTTCCGAATATAGATTAAAAATAGTGTTCAGGAATGACATGGGGTACCTAATTTTGGATTACTAAATCAAACAAATCAAACCATAACATGCCATCTTCATCGTATTATCTTTTGCAGACTACTAAGAAAGATCCTTGTGAGTCACTATTTGACGCTTTGGGCTGATAGCTTATTTGGCTGAGCAAGTGTGATCCTCTCTTTTTCACTTTTTAGTCTGAAAAAGCCATGAATACATAAAAGTAATGACCACACTGTTTTCAGAGCAACACACTTATTAGATGTATTTTTTATTACGTTTTTTTGTCGTGGTTTTAAAGTTAGGATTCCCAGCTTTAATGTAGTAGAAAGGATGCTAAAACTCATTGAGTATAAACAGATTAATCCATTTTCACTGACAATCATCTCAATAACAAAATACTGTGGCTTTTTGGGATTAGTACCCACTGTTTTACGCTCTTGTCTTGATCACTTGAGGCGATCCATGCGGAGCTCTCTAAACTTGTGAAGAGACAGTCAGGAGGCCAGGAGACCAAACCCCTCAAAGCTCCTCACACGTTGAAAGAGGGGAAAACACCCTTTCTGTTTTCGAAGAAGACACAGACTTTGGTAAGTGCATATTTGGGATGTAGCTCCTCAACAAACGTCTGTTGCTTTAAAACTTTAACAGAACGCTTTCCAATTTCTTGTAGGGACTTTCCTGGAAGCTTTTACTTGGGGCTCTGATGGTGGCACTCGCTAGTTTAGTCATATCTCTCATACTGACCGCATGCAACTGAGCTCACAGCTGGAAGAGGACATTATTTATGACAACGTTTTAAATGAACACGAGGACAGTTTGGATTTGGGAACCCAAAAGCTCATTTGAGAAGAAAATCAGGAGGATTATGAACTGGACACAGTACTGGCCCAAAAGACTCTCTCACTCTGTGGATTACAGCCCTTGAAGCAAAAACTACTTTCAAACAAATTATTTGTTAAATCTATTCTCTGTTGACTCTTATCTAGCATCTTTCTGAATGCTCTGGACCATACTCACCACTAGAGGGCCAAAGGCTTCATCTGAGGATGGCACTGGTGAGCTTTGATTACTTGATTGAAAATGAAATTATGTTGTCATTATTTTTGCCATCTTTAAAATATATATTTATTTTATTAACAGACCTGCCACTTTCTTGCTCGCTCAGATTCTATTAATTAAGCTTAAAATCTTTATTGTGAGGGAGATTGCTACGTGTCAAAAGTACTCTTCATTAATGTGACGTATTTCCACGTGATAACCCTGAAAAGCTAAGACCTTCAGGGTTATCACTATCACTTGATTTTATGCTTGGATTATTGCTATTGTGTGGCGAATAAATCTTCTGGAATTTTTTCCATGATGGTCAAAACAATGATTTGATTTGTGCATATATATTGTTCTAACCTTTATATATTTGATAATAGTTTTGAGGTTTAAATTGAGACATTTGCAACTTTCAAGCTTCCTTTCAAGCGAGATATAGTTTTTCAAGTGGATCTCTGTCTCCATCTACTGGCACTTCATGAGTATTACAACCACCAGCCGTCCAGGTGAGTTCTGAGGTCATGTTATGTCTACAAGCTGTGTCGTTGTGCCCAACCATCTCTTGTATTTCTATTGTTAGATGTGAAACTGTGTTTGTACTTCTAATCAAATACTTTTATGAGCAGAAATTCTCCCCTGGATTTCAGTAGAAACAAGAAGAACAACATCTGTCTTTGCAGGTGACAATTCATTTCAGGGACTGGAGTCTTCATGACACATCAACATACTGAGGAGGACAGCATTCCAACCACAACTGAACAGCTGGAAAAGGTTTTTTTTTCAGTCTAGTATTTTAATCAATTAATATACTGTACATTTGTTTGAGGAAATGATCTTCTCTAAGGCCCGGATACTAGTGAAGGGACAGAGTGATTGTCCAGCAGAAAGAGATGAGAGAGGAAAAGTGAATTTGGTGTATGAGGTATTTGGTTGGGGTGGAATAGGAAATTGATATGAGCTGAGATTGAGGTTGAAAGTGACAAACAGATGATGGAAACAGGGAACAATCTAGGCTACAGTCTTCCTGGATTCATTTATCATCCCACTACACCAATGGGTGAAGTGCCTTTTCAAATAATAGCAGCAAGAATTTTCTACTCTTTCATACAGAAACTTTGAGCAACAACACTATGATCCTAGAATATGAATTGAGGATGTGGAGTGTGACTAAACTACTGTTAGAATCTTATATTAAAAAGAAAATAGCTGATGACTCAATAGCAAAAACAGGGAAACAGCAGCGGCAGTGTGGCATGGGTGAACACTGCACTGTAATCTTATCCACGACACACTCCCTGGAATCAACACTGCTGATGTGATTAAAAATTCAGAAATGGAGGAAGGAAACTTTTCTCTCTGTCTATAAGTAAGAACCAAAACGCAGCATGATGGAATGGCAGGCTCGGAGGCTTGAAGGGGAGAGAAAGGTGAAAGACAGATGAAAGTAGAGGCAGATAAAAGCGGGAGTGAGCCAGAGGAAGGAGGCACAGATGAAAGGCGAAATGAGAACGATAAGAGCGGAGTGAGAGAACCACGCCGTCGAACGGAGGGAAAGATACCGCGTACAGAAGAGACAGGTAACCATGGCAACAGCGCCAAGGTACAAAAGAAGAGATAGACAAAGGCTTCGGATGTCTTTTCTTTTTTTTTTTTTTCAAGAATGAAACTTGGGGAGCGAGGAGAAAAGTCATTTTGAGTGATGTGTGTCATGAGGCGGGATCGTTGGCACCGCGGACATAGTGGAGACCTCTAGTGTTAATGGCCTGCTGCTGTTCATTCAATAGGACCCATTAGAGCTTCTTACATTGCTAGTAAATACTTATTGCCCCAGTCTGAAGTATGCAGATACATACAGTAACAGTTGATGTGTGTGCGTGTTTGTGTGTGTGTGTGTGTGTGTGTGCGTGTGTGTGTGTGTGTATAGACAGTGTGTTGGGCGTGTGGTTTTTGAGTCCCTGGTGGCTACCCCTCTCTCCTCTTCCTCCTCCCTTCCCCCTCCTGTATTTTTTTCCCTTCTTTTTCGTCTCTTCTCGTTCGTCCTCTGTCTGTTTCGCTCACTCTCTCCCCACACCCCTCCTCTGTTTCTTTCTCTCTCTTGATCTGGCCCCCCTTTCCTTCTCAACACACACTCCCTCCATGCTCAGTTCCTTTTATATCTTCCTCACTGAATGCTCCTCTCCTCTCCCTCAACTCTTGTCTTTCCTCCTTTTCTTTTTCAGTCTTTCTTGTGTTTTTTTTCTCCCTCTCACTCAGTCTGAACACAGCCATTTCACTGTGGTAATATTCTGTTTTACACTTCACTTTATTTTATCAGAGGATACGGTTTGATTAGATTTTAATTAAATGCACTATCAGTAAATGCACTATCAGTATCTTAACCTTGTACCAAAAAGTCTTTGCATTTAGGTACACTTTATGAAGTTAGGCCCCTATATTCGTAAAGGCCTTAGTGGTGACACCTGTTCTATGACCTGTGGACCCTGCATGGGCGGTCCCTCTACTCTATAATAACTAGTCCATAGGGGAAACATACAGGATTGAAGGTAGAATGTCTTGAGCACAACACAAGACATAAGACATAAGCCCCATACCATTTTATAAACCATAGCTCAAATTCTCAAATATATGCATGTATTTATAACAACTTTAATGCTTGGAGAAATGTTACAAAGTGGTATTTTTTAAAGAAATGTATGTATTTATTTGAAAATGGACAACATTTCTGTAAACGTGAGTTTTAGTGCCTGGGCAAGGTGTGAAGATGTTTTCAAAGGGCACATACATTAGTAAATAAAGTACAGAGTAAAAGTTAGTACATTCCCCCATCATCTACAATAATTTAAGACAAATAGAGAAATAAACATGGTTGAAATTTAGGAAAAGAAAAAGAAAGATGCTGTATGTTTACCATGTAGCTAATGTTCTAGTGTTGGTTGGAATGACGTCAAGAAAGTTCATTTAATTTATAAGAATATCCTGGTTTTCTTCTAATTGTAAAAACATCTTTGAAATATACTGTGGATAATTTACTTTGTGACCTTTCCAAAGCATGACTAATGTCATCTGTGCTCATCTGAGGCTGTCTATCATAGATTCTGTCAACAAGTAATAACTAAAAAAAAAACTCTCTCTCATAACACGGGCCTGTTCTGGGCGCTGTATGGGCTGGTCCCTTGTTGTTCCTTGGACTCTTTGTCTTTCTTATCTTTGTTTCTTCCTTCGCTCGCTCTATATTCTCTTCCCTCCTAGACTTCCTGCCCCCCTCCACACACCCCCCCTTCACCACTATCTCTGCTCTCCCCCTCCTCAGAGCCCCCCCTTTCCTTTCTATCTTTCTGCTTCTCTCTGAGCCGCTCATGATTGATCAAGGTTTGCCCTTTTCCGGTTTTTGGCTTTTAGTTTAAAGAGTGCGAGGGCTTGTTCGGCCTCTGATTACAGTACATCACAAGGTTAATGTATATTTGCTGAAACATGCTTTTTTTGCCTGCTCCTATTAGTTTAGCCGTACAGGTGAGCTAATCCCCAGGCTTCTAAAGTTACTCAAAGACAGGTAACTGAGTGAAAACAGGAAAATACAATCTGGTGGTTTAATAGTTAATGCTCCCTCCCCACCGCCAGCCTTCCCCCGCATTATTTTTCTCTTTCTCTCTATCCTCCTCTTTCCCGCAGCCTGTCACCACCTCCCCTCCATTGCTTTTTTTCTTTCAGTGCCTTTTCTTTCTTTCAGCCTGTCTCTCTCGCTCTTCCACATACCCCTCCCTTTCTCCACCACCACAACCACGCTTTTTTATATTCTTTCTTTCTTTTCTTCAGCCCAGCCACCCCTCCTCCTTTGCTCCATCTCTCTTTCCTCCTCTCTTTCTTTAGTCTCTGCCTGTTTCCATCCCCCTGCAACTCCTTCAATCTATCCGTTTGTCTTTATTCATTTGTGTTACCTTTCTTCACTCGTTAATCTAATTTGGAAGCATCTTATTACTGCAATAAGTTGGTGTGCGTGTCCCTACAGGTGTCCGGGCTGTAGAACCAAGGTAGCACTGCCCTGGCATTTCCAATGCATTAACTTTGTAACCATCCTTTTAATGGTTCACGTTGATGAGTAGTCAACCAATATGTATTGTGGACTTTAAAATTATAAACATACATTCTTCTTAGCTCCGTTTGGTCTTGGCAGAGGGTTGCGTTGTCTACCTGCTCGGCCATATAGCTATCTAATCCTCATACTTTGTTGTCATTTTTTAACCAAATATATGTTGAAACATGGGACTGAAGACCAATCATTTGTTGCATTCATTTTCATTTCACTTTAATGCCTATATTGTTCTGATTATGAACTATGATCACTATATTCATATATTGCTCATTAATGACAATACTAATTATAATTTCTTACGTGACAATTAAATTCCTTTTCCCCGGATTTGTAAAAAAATTAAAAAAACGTCTTATATACATTTTTAATATTTAAATCATACTGTGTGCTTCAAATGTCTGTAATATTGCTGCATTGTTGTGTATGGTGCAACAAATCCACGATACAGTCTCAGCCTCATGTTGGCTGTTTTACATTACAACATCTAATTGAGGATTGAGGAAGTTGAATGCTATACGCTTTGCGACAGAAACACATTTTTGTAAATGAAAAGCTGTAGAAAAGAGGAAGTCTGAAAGAGGAAGAGCAGAAAGGAGGGATGCTGTTGTGGAGGGGAGTGTGGTGGTGGGGGCACAGCCCAGTCAGTTCAGATAAGAGCAACAGTGAGAGAGGGAGGGAGAAACTGGCACCACCCACTCCCCTCCCAGCTCATATAAAGAGCTGAGGATTTTTTGGATTCATTTTTGCTGGAGGATGAGCTCAGAGGAGCAGCTCGCACATGACCCCAGGAGCACAGTGGTGAGTGAGAGCTCCGATAGAACGTGCATCTCCGTTTCCTCTTCCCGCTTGCTGTGTTTGCTTCCTGCTCTCACTAATGTGTGGCTTAAGTGTCTTTGACTTGACAACTTTAGGAACCTGCACAATGGACACTGCAGCTGGGACACTTGCACTTTCTGTCCCACTGTACATGACATGTGTGTCAATGTTTTCTGTGTGTAGTTCTTCTGCTTTTAGAACACATGATGTCCCTCCTGCCCCCCTCTTCCTTCTTTCTTTTTACATGCACACTCTTTCTCACTCTTCCCCCCCTCCTTGGTTTCCTCCCTCTTTTCTTTATCTTTCACAGTCTGCTCCTCGCCTCCCCCGCCTCTCTCTTCTTCCTTCTTCCCTATTCTGTCTCCACCACCCAGCCGTTTTGTCTGTTTCACTCCTTAAAGCAGTTATTTCAAATAGTGTTTCATTCATGACTCACTTCTGTTTAACTCCTGTCAGTCGGTTTTTTTGTATTAATCTTGGAGCTCTGTAAATATACCACACCCTGAATGTTACAATTTGGTATTTATTTATTTATTCAACTATCTTATTTTTATCCAGTATTTTCAGCTACCCTGCAGTGAGCTTATCACTCCAGGAGCTTGTGAGATTAGTTTGCTGTGTGCTTCAATTAGTTCAATACAATATGGAGAAATTAAGTCTGATACAATAATTGTTATTGTTTTGTGTATGCACTGTTCTTGGCTCATTTATAATGTTGTCATTGGCAGGAAGAACGGGGCGGCCCATCACAAGTGATGTGCCTGAAGACACGGGGTGTCATGGAAGTGGGAACACAGACTGAGCCTGTGGTTGTACTGTCACTGGCTCAGGCCGCTGTTCTGGGCCTCATCTCGCAGAATGAGATCTTTAGAGGAACTATTGCCCCTAATGGATTCTACAATGGAGAGCCTAAAGAGTGCACTGCCACTCCACAGGAGGAGCCCATGGAGTATGAGTATGCTGACCGGCTTATTGGAGCAAATGGGGACTACTTACGGGATCCTGCTGCAGATACTGAAGCTCAATGCAAAGAGACAAGACAGCCTCAAGAGAGGGACAGGCGACTGGACTGTCATCAGAAAACCTCCAGTCCAGAAGCTCACATTAAAGGGGAAAGACTTGAGTGTGACGACCGCCCATCATGTCCAAGCAGATCTGAGGTGGACAGCCAACAGGCCTCTCCCAAAGAGGAGCCGGTCAGTGTCATACATATGCCACCACAAGGTGGTGTCTTGGTGGAGGAAGTGCCAACAGAAAGGCAGGAAGAGGCATTGAACCTGAAGATCGGTGGGGACAATGATGGTTCACAAGAAAAGAGCTATTATGAGTCCAGTGAGCCAGCCTACGAAGCCTCTGATGAACCCCCACAGGCAGAGTATGAGGGGACAGGACAGGCCATGCTGTGGTCTGACCCAGAGGGCCTTGCTCGACGAATGCAAATAGATCGCCTGGACATCAACGTTCAGATCGACGAGTCGTACTGTGTGGATGTGGGAGAGGGTTTAAAACGCTGGAAATGTCGCATGTGTGAAAAGTCCTACACATCGAAGTACAACCTGGTCACACATATCCTGGGACATAGTGGTATTAAACCACATGAATGTGTGCACTGTGGAAAGCTCTTTAAACAGCCGAGCCACCTCCAGACTCATCTGCTGACCCACCAGGGCACACGGCCGCACAAGTGCACCGTGTGTGAGAAGGCTTTCACCCAGACCAGCCATCTGAAAAGACATATGCTACAGCACACAGACATAAAGCCCTATACCTGCCGCTTCTGTGGCAGGGGCTTTGCCTACCCGAGTGAGCTTAGGACCCACGAGAACAAGCACGAGAATGGCCAATGTCATGTCTGCTCTCAGTGTGGACTAGAGTTTCCTAGCTATGCTCATCTCAAAAGACATCAAGTCACCCACCAGGGTCCAACCAGTTTTCAGTGCACTGAGTGCAACAAGTCCTTCTCCTACCGCAGCCAGCTCCAGAACCACCTCCTAAAACATCAGAACGTACGCCCCTTTGTCTGCCCAGAATGCGGCATGGAGTTTGTCCAAATCCACCACTTGAGACAACATGCACTAACGCATAAGGTAGAGTAGTTTGGATGAAGAGATGGCTTTGGCACAGCTGAAAAACATGTACAATATACTGTACATCACAGGGTGTTATGTATTTATATTTCAATTTTGTCTGAACAGGGCATGAAGGAGTTTAAGTGTGACGTTTGCTCTCGAGAGTTTACACTGTCAGCCAACCTGAAGAGACACATGCTGATCCACGCCAGTGTCAGACCTTTCCAGTGCCACATCTGTTTTAAGACCTTTGTCCAAAAACAGACTCTGAAAACACACATGATTGTCCATCTCCCTGTCAAACCCTTCAAATGCAAGGTGAGGCAAAATGATAATGCATTAGTTTAGGTTACCACATGTACCAGAAAAAGTTTACTTCATATTAACTTTGGCTTAATTTTGTGGTTTAACTCCATCTCAGATATAAGTTATACTTTGTTTGTTACACTTAAATTATGTTGTGTTCAAGTTATTCACCTGGAATCTTAATTGATTGCTTGTAGGTGTGTGGAAAGTCATTCAACAGAATGTACAACCTCCTGGGCCACATGCATCTGCACGCAGGAAACAAGCCGTTCAAGTGTCCTTATTGCAGCAGCAAGTTCAACCTGAAGGGGAACCTCAGCCGCCACATGAAGGTCAAGCACGGCATCTTGGACACCAGCATCGATGGACAAGGTACTCTTTCCTTTTTTGTAACTTCAGAAGTTACAATTTGTGGGTTACAATCTCATTTCTAGCAAAAAACATGTCTTAAAATACATTTTGTGTATATCCTCAGAACAACATCAAGATGCAGATGGTCAAGAGAACTACGAGGAAAACTTTGATTTCAGTGAAAGAGAAAATCGTGGCAATATCAACAACAGCAGCACCAATAACACAGAAAATAGTAAACTTTCACCAATGGCATATTATGGCACCTACGGTAAAAACACAGGGCGATACACCCTTCCAGATATGATAAAAAACAACCCATAACTTTGCAATACTCCAGATGCACAGAAAATCAGATTGCCATTTTATATATCTGCACATAAGATCATCTGTTCTCATGATTAAGATCATTTGGGCCTAAGTGTCTTGTGCTTTTTTGAGCAAAGGTTCTTGTGTAATGAAGCTGTCAAACACAAGAAAAACTGGTCCCGAAATCTGATAAACATCGGACACAAGTAATGTGTGAACTCAAATAAAAGTTTAAATTGATGTAGATTTGAACTATTTGTTTGTCCTACAAATTGGTCAGAAAATTGGGTCATTTTGTCCATCTATTCTAGACTTTCATCATTTCACGATTCAAGAACTAGTGCAGCACAGCACATGTTGCCTAATTGCCATCCATTTCTTCATCACTTGGCAATAGTTCATGTTTAGGTCAATATTTCATTCGATTGGGAAGAGTTTGAAGAAAGAAAAATAATATGTGGAGGTTTAGGTTAATGTTTTACACTAGTTTACACAACTAATGTATGGTTCATTCTCAAATCTGGAAACCAAATATTCCTGTTGACCATAAACAATATCCATGCACTGACAGCTCCCCCTACTGGTGTGAGGCTGACTCTACAGTTTTCTGGGTAGGTTCCTTGTATGCTGAATCCAATTCATATTTGACATATCAGGAATGATGAAGACATTGTAGGCAGAGCATTTATACTACTCCTTTTATTACATAAAGCTGCATCGTAGTTCATTTTTTCTTGTGCTCACAAAATACAGCAGATGCATTCTTAAAGGAAACTTATTTATGTAGACACAGAGGAGTAACAGTTAAGTCTTCACATCAGACCCCCAAAGCCAGGGCAGTTCCATTATTGTGTGTTACAGGACTACAGCCTGAATTGATTGTTTTGGTTAAGGACAATTTACAAAAAAGGTCAATGCCATATTTTGATTAGAAAAGTAAGAAAATACAATTTAACGTCTTGTTTCTATAATGGCATTGTTATTGTAATAAACCAGTAGTAAAACCAGATTTATTCATGTGGACGTTTTACAATCTTTCCAAAAGCGTAACAGTTTATGACAGTTCTCACATTACAAAAATACAACCTTGAAATCGGGGACAGACAGAGGTGGATGGACAGCTCTATGAGCTCTATAAAATCCTACAATGTATAGATTCCTTCAGTTTAATGTCTTTTTGACCTGTTAGGTTAGAAATGAGGTACAAAAAAATTATCAAATGGTATCATTCACAGATTTTTCATTCACTTTCCAAGGGCCTTTTCCAGGTTTGTCTTGATGGCATCCAGGAAGTCAGTGGTGTTAACATAGTGCTCATTCAACTTGACGCTACAAGGGAACAGAAAGACATTTCAAAGTTATATTTTGCCAAATGATGCAAAAGGTTAGTTATTATAAAGTCTTACTTGGAAAGGCCATGAATGCAGCCTGCAAGATCCTTTGTCATGGTCCCGCTCTCTACAGTTTCAACACAGACCCTCTCTAGAGTCTGGGAGAACCTGACAACAACAGTTACAGTTACATCTGTTCCTTATTCACAAAAACAAAATCATTCACTGGGTCTTTACTTTATAAGATCAGGGTTTCCGTCCAGTTTGCCACGGTGCTCCAGACCTCGGGTCCAGGCGAAAATACTGGCGATTGGGTTAGTGCTGGTTGGTCTTCCCTGGAGGCAGATTAGAACATGACATTTACGGTATACAATTTGTAGGTTTAGCACAATGTATCATTTCTGAAGCAAGACAAGTCAAATCAATATGACTATAATACGGCCCAAATAATATTTATACACAAAATAAAATAGATCATGGTGAATTTGATTTCTCTTTGGATATCTAATAGAGGATCATTTTTAAGAGAAAAGCTTTCACAGTGTGAGCACTAAACACTAGTCTACCACCACCACCACCACAAGGGGGCGCCACTGTGACGTGCCGAGTCTCCTTACCTTCTGGTGCTCACGGTAGTGCCGGGTCACTGTGCCATGAGCCGCCTCAGCCTCGATGGTCTTTCCATCAGGACAGACCAGGACAGAGGTCATGAGCCCGAGAGAGCCAAAGCCTGCAAACATAAACATCATAAATATTTCTGCAGCGAAGCAGAATGAAAATTTTTCAAAGTCTCACCCTGAGCGAGGATGTCTGACTGCACGTCCCCGTCGTAGTTCTTACACGCCCACACAAAGGCTCCGGACGACTTCAACACCTGGGCCACCATGTCATCGATGAGTCTGTGCTCGTACCAGATCTTCAGCTTGTCAAACTCTGGCTTGTAATTCCTGGAACAAAATAGTTCAGTCTATTATTCCAAGCATAATCATTTTATACAGAAAGGGGATCTGCAGGGCGGAGAAAAATAACGACCAGTCCAAAATCTAAATTATTTGATCAAGAGAATACCCAATAAATATTTGCCCCCAAACTGGTCAGACTCTTCTTTTTGGAGGGATGTCCAGCAAGAGGATGGTCATTTTAAATAATTTTGGAAGTTTGATTGTGTTACAAAAGGATTACCAATCAGTTCTTGTGTTCATTATGAGACTGTTAAATAAACATTGCATTGTTCTGTGAGAGTCTGGCAGAGGTTTGAATGACCAGATCATCTGAAAAAACTGACTTCATTCTGGACTTCCAAAGAGAATGGACATGTGTTTTAGTCTGTGTGCTAGGTTAAAATACTATCCATCCATCCATCCATTTTCTTCCGCTTTATCCGTTGCCGGGTTGCGGGGGCAGCAGTCTAAGCAGAGAGGCCCAGACTTCCCTATCCACACACACTTCCTCCAGCTCGTCCGGGGGGACCCCAAGGCGTTCCCAGGCCAGCTGGGAGACATAGTCCCTCCAGCGTGTCCTGGGTCTTCCCCGGGGCCTCCTCCCGGTGGGACGTGCCCGGAACACCTCCCCAGGAAGGCGTCCAGGAGGCATCCTGAACAGATGCCCGAGCCACCTCAACTGGTTCCTCTCGACGTGGAGAAGCAGCGGCTCTACTCCGAGCTCCTCCCGTGTGACTGAGCTCCTAAGGGAGCGCCCAGCCACTCTGCGGAGGAAGCTCATTTCGACCGCTTGTATCCGCAATCTCGTTCTTTCGGTCATTACCCACAGCTCATGACCATAGGTGAGGGAGGGAACGAAGATTGACCGGTAAATCGAGAGCTTTGCCTTTCGGTTCAGCTCCCTCTTTACCACAACGGTCCGATACAGCGACCGCATCACTGCGCACGCTGCACCGATCCGCCTGTCAATCTCACGCTCCATCCTTCCCTCACTCGTGAACAAGACCCCGAGATACTTGAACTCCTCCACTTGAGGAAGGACCTCTCCACCCACCTGGAGAGGGCAAGGCACCTTTTTCCGGTCGAGCACCATGGCCTCGGATTTGGAGGTGCTGATTCTCATCCCAGCCGCTTCACACTCGGCTGCAAACCGTCCCAGTGCATGCTGCAGGTCCTGGTTCGTTTGAGCCAGCAGGACGACATCATCCGCAAAAAGTAGAGATGAAATCCTGTGGTCCCCAAACCGGACCCCCTCCGGCCCCTGGCTGCGCCTAGAAATTCTGTCCATAAATACAGTGAACAGAACCGGTGACAAAGGGCAGCCTTGGCGGAGGCCAACATGCACCGGGAACAGGTCTGACTTACTGCCGGCAATGCGAACACAGCTCTGACTCCGGTCATACAGGGACCGGACGGCCCTCAGCAGAGGACACCGGACCCCGTGCTCACGGAGGACCCCCCAAAGGACACCCCGGGGAACACGGTCGAACGCCGTTAAAATACTAAGTATAAAAACAACCCCACAAAAGACATTCTGAGACTGAACCCTTCTTCAGACACAAGCAGCAGGGCTCAGTGCTGAAAAGTTACATGTAGTATCATTGTGTGGATCTTTGGTCACACTCGATCATATATTTTGTCAATCTATCTAAAACGTGGTGTTCGAGTGTTTAACTCACTTCTGGAAAATATCCTCAAAGATGTCCTTGAAGCGGCCATCGTAGGCTTTGAGGATGGTGTTCTTTGTGCTCAGGTACAGAGGCCACTTCTTTGAGATGGCGTACTGGAAACAGCTGTGGGCGAAGCCTGTGATGGACTGAGACAAAAGTCAAAAGGTCAGAGTTTTATCAGCGCAGCAGGTTATTCACCCGACTTTCACACCCATCACTGCTGGCCTCTGACACTTTGACAAACAGCTGCTCAAACAGAAGCAGCAGACAAGCTAAAGTTAAAACATCCCAATTACCCCACCAAAGGGTAGTGTGATCATCTCCACACGTGTGAGTCTAGGGAGGATTCTGCAAAAACTACAGGCAGCAGTGACCCCCATATGAGCCAATGAATCAATTTTTCAACAAAAGATCTGTTTTTTTCAAGGACAAACAACACACACTTTGCATGAGTTTCCTGAACAGCCATTAGTGTTGAATACACTGTATTTTCAGTGAACTTACCTCATCAGTATTGTACATGCCCATGCCACAACCTCCAGCGGGGAAATCATACACCTCCCACTCGGTGGCAGCGCTGCCGTCACTGGGAGAAAAGATAATCTTGAATTTTCCTGGCTGGGTCACAACGAAATCTGTGGCACGATACTGCAAACATACAATAGAAGAAAAAAGGATCAGGAGACATTTCCAACCAACGTAATTACTAAAAGTAAAAGCATCACCTGGTCTCCAAAGGCATGTCTGCCAATGGTGATGGCCTTTGTCCAGCCAGGGACCAACCGAGGAATGTTCTGGCAAAGGATTGGCTCACGAAACACAGTCCCACCAAGAATGTTTCTGATGGTACCATTTGGGCTTTTCCACATTTTCTTCAAGCTAAATTCTAAATAAACACAAAATAAACACAATCAGTATTCTTATACTTAACTTGTTCCTTGAAGGCATAAACACCTGAACAATCTACAGTCATCACATTTCTAAAGAACATGAAATGGTTTGGTTTTCACTGTGTGGACCATGTATTGCGATTGTTCAACAATTTGATTTATTAAAAACTTTCTCTTGTGTTTGTTGAGAGTACCTAATGTGATTCAACTAAAAACTAAAGTACATGTAATTAAATTGAATAATCTTTAGAGAAGCCAACGCCGTGTGCTTTGATTCATTACTCAAGGCTGGATGTTTCCTAAAAGTGTGTCTTTAGAACAAACCTTCCACTCGAGCTTCATCTGGTGTGATGGTTGCACATTTGACCGCAACATTGTACTTCAATGTGGCCAGAGCTGAGTCGATGGTGACCTGGTCATCGGTCTGGTCTCGGTACGGCAGCCCCAGGTCATAGTACTTCAGCTCCACATCCACGTTGGACAAGATCAGCTGAGACAGAACACCTCAACCATTAATAACAACATATTATACAAATCACATCAGCATACAAATGTGGTTCCTGTACCATTGTCTAACCCACTACCAGGATTCACTGCAGACTGACCAGGGCAGTGCTTTGGGAGACTGACACTAGCAAACCTTGTTTGGCCAAATGTGAGCAGGGGACAAGTGGAGCATTATAAAAACTATGAAAAACACCTTTTCCTTGATGAACTCCCAGATGATACGGGTCATCTCATCTCCATCCATCTCCACCACAGGCTGAGACACCTTAATGCGTTTGTCTGCATCTGGGAGGAAGAAGAACGTAGACGGTTGCATATTATTAATTTGACAATCAAATCTCATTTTAATTTAAAAAAGAATTATCACCAACAACTATGCCCTCTAATTGGATATAAATTATGTACTAGAGAGGAAAATTATGCTTTTTCTTTTTTTAAACAAATAATCATTTAGAAGATTCTGTTCTGCCAAATATATTTTTCGCCCCCTCCATATGATCATCATATGTTTTGATTTTTTTGATCAAATAATTTGATACAATGACAACACTGTGGGAGATAATTATGCATCACTGACAAACAAAAGCCAGGACCGACTAACAAGATTAGAGGTGACTTTGCGATGCAGACGGTGGCAGATTAGGCATTAACCAGTGCACATAAAAAGAAGCCACGCTGAAGAAGTCTGCACTCCGAAACTCAAATCAAGCTTGTTGACCCCTGCGCAGACAGCTGCACGAGCACGTGACGTGGAGCATCTCAAAATAAACTGGACTCATGGCGAACATTTAGGTCTTACAGGACAAGACCGAAGGACAAGAAAACTGCTCAAAAAGTTGCATGGGTTAAAGCAAAAAGTAAAACTGTTTACATTAAAGAATAGTGAAGACTGAGGATAAGTTATGAAACCCAGTCCCAGCAGGTGTCAATATAACACAAAAACATACCTAGGATCTAGATAGGACATCGACTAGATCCTAGGTCTGACATCCGAGTTAGGATCTAGGATATTGACTGGTTAAGATTAGAGCCTCAAGCACCAAGCCTCGACCTTTGGAGCATGTGATTGGGTTAATCATAAGAGCACTGGTCAGGAGTTGGAAGACACATGTGATTGATGAAGTGTTTGCATATGGTCCATCCTCCACCCTCTCTTCTGAGGCATTATTGACACTGCAAAACCAAAAGGCTTCCATAAATCTGGCCTAAAAGCTTAAGAGGTTTGTGCAATCTCAATGACAGAGTTGTTTTTGATACCTATCCACCATGAGCACTTTTGTGAACGTAGTGAGTGTCCAATCAGAACTAGAGGAATGGAAGTTTAAGCTTAATCTACTGTAATCACCAACAATGCTCCAAATGTTCTCACACTGTTTAATCATAAGAGCCAACTATCAGGTTCTACAAACAATACAATTGTGAATGATTTGGTCGAAACCTGCAAAGTAAAAAAATAATACAAGATTAATTAAAAAATGTTTTTACTTTTGTTATGCAATTAATTTATAAGTTGAATTAGTCAAAGTCCTTACATATACCTAAACTAATTCTTCAAGGTGGGCACACCAGCCGCATGTGATTGTTCACTAATTCTCCTTTTTGATTCAAAGTATGTAAACAACAGTGGAAGGGGTAGGCGGCCAAGGTGAGAAGACTGAGGGGAGCACAAAGGCTTCTCTCATAAAAAAAGACAATGGAATAATGACTCAAAAACATGCAGGAATGACTAAATGCCTCTATTATGTGCATCATGTTAGGGAGACCCAACATGGTCAAAACTGAAAAGACAATTTTGGATGTCATGTCCCTTTAAACAAATCCTGAAACTCTTATTTCAAGGAACTGGTGGTTTTGTTTGGCAGGTGCATCATGTCCTGGAGATGCTCCCCTCTGGACCTGGGCTCCTGGACAGGGATTTTTGTTTTTTAAGAGGAACAGCCTTGATTTATCAAGAAAAAAGCCCCTCCACTTTTTGTCACCAGTCAAAGCCGTTGGCTTGGAATGTGTCAATGAGTTATTGTTGCAGAATTTAATCTGGTTGTCATATACACAGGATGGACGCACATGTACACAACAAATGCACCAACACTGCTCTAGGTTCACCTGGATGACAACCTTTTGTTTATGGTACAAGTCTGCCGCACTACTGTTTTGGTTACATCAACATAAAGAGTTGTATTTCATTCAGCAGAAACAGGTTTGCAGGTTTTTCAGATTGCTCATCTGCACGTTGTAAAATGGTATAATGATTAGATCTCTAGGCAATTTTATGTGGATATGCTCAGCTGATTCAGTTGAAAGTGCACTGGATGAAGGGCCGCAAAATGAAACATTGTGATTCACTGTGACACTATAGATCAAAGATTGATCCATTATGACTGCACTTAAGTTGGAACAGGTGTATTTAAATATTCCCATTGCAGCATGGATGTGATACTGCAGAATGGACAAAGTTAATATTAAAGACAAAGACCATAATTAATCATAGAGATTAATTACACCTTTGACTAGTTTATTAGACATTCACACCAGTAAAATATGAATTTTCTCATTACTAAATTGAACCTAGGAAGGTTTTTCATCAAACACAAAATTGACATGCAATTTTGTTTGAGTTACAATACATTTTCATGGAGTCAATCCAACCATGCATATCAATCTGATAAATGTCACTGTATATTTATGAAGTGTAGATGCAAAGTGAAAGCCTTTAACCCTTGAACTACCCTCGGGTCAAAATGACACGCCACAGTGATTAATAGTAGACCCTTTTAGACTGATTTTCAAAAATCAATTTTATCCCACAAAAAAAAAAAAAAAAAATCTTTCAGCACATGTCATTCAATACTTATTCAATAACTAAAACACAAAGACTACAGAGATGTCTCTAATTTCAAAACTCTCCCACATTGTTTACATACTTTGTAACTTTGAAAAAAAAAGGCTAAAACTATGTCGTGATATATATTATTAGAGCAAGTTTTACCCTATGGATCTTAAGTGCCAGACATTTAAGATAAGAAGAAAACGTCTCTGTCGTCATTGTGCCCGCAGGTCTGCTCTGTTGTTGACTCAACACTTGGGAGCGCCCTTCATCCGACCCCCCATGCCCCCTCTGACCTCTGACCCCGCACAGAAACAAAGACTATTGGGGGGAGTCGTGCATGAGATCGACTTGGGCGGATGTTACTGCCCATGGTTGCTGCAGGAGCTAGGACTATCATGGACTCGCAGGAGAAGGCGGCCATTGCAGTGTTCATTCAGCGCTCGTCTGCAGAGGCTGACCTTGGGCAAGTGTGACCCACGGATCACCACACAGCTGCTGCACGACACTGCGGGACATTACATCTGTGGGTCATGTATTGCACTTTCTAAAATGCTCATTTCGTCAATATTTGATGATAGCATTTTTGATTGTTGTTAGCATTTCATAACAATATAACCACAGCTTTTGCTTTCGAATTGCATGTATAATTAATGTTACTGCTACTGCTGCTGCTTACATAACTATATCCCTCTATAGTGCAATTGGAAAGCTTCGGTCTACCCGGTGTAACCCGAGCTGCTCTAGCGCCATGTTAGCTTGCAGAGAGAAAGCGACAAGAGAAAGATGCTGAGGATGAAACTCACAATTCCTTTGTTGCAGAGTCTGGCAGTTTGCAGCTGGGGCCAGGACCCCGGGGTTTCGGGAGAACGCATTAGTAGCGCTCCTGGACACAGAGCTGAGGACTTTGAGATATCCAGCCATGTCAGTGTGGCACTAAACACCAGTGCAGGACAGAGAGGAAAGACACAAGCGGGCAGTCTGCGATATAGATCCACTCAGCTGCAGCACCGCCCTCCTTGGCTCGCTGTGCACGCCGGGTGCTTACGTCACTCGGACGCAGGAAGGACACGTTGTGCACAATTGCGCACCCTGATGGCAGTTCACAGCTGTATCCGAATTCAGACAAGTATCTCCTTTTATATCATTTCACGCTCCTTTCCATCTCCTTTTTATTAACATTGCACAATAAAATATGCCTTGTTTAACTTTTTAGAATAATAGTCAGGTTGTAGTTTTCCCTTGACCAAGCCCAGCTCCCAGTCTCACAAAAAGTCAATCAAATGTAAGTGAATTCGGACGCAGGTCACGAACTTATGACACTTCCATTGTACCTATAGATAACTTTAAACAACTGTTCAAAACGCCCCCGAGAGGATAGACTTGACCAAGGGTTTCAGACATCTTCCTGCAGAGTCAGTCTTGATTTATATTAGGATTATTTATGTATTAATCGTGATAACTGTGGCTTACATGAAGTGTGGGCGGAGCTGCACAGGATCCTCAACAGTCACAAGACACAGCACAACATCAAACATGTGCTGGCATCCCACCTGTGTCTGCACGACCTCTGACACACTTCAATGTTGGGATTGGGACTTAAAGCGAATTACTCCTCCGCTTTTCACAATTACTACGTGAATGCAGAACAGAAGCTTCTCCAGTTCAACCGCCTATTTATAGAACCGTAGCCTTTATAGACGTACGTGGACCTGGCGACGTGTCTGATGATGATCCTAGATCCTCCAGACAGTCTAATTTTAGCTCAGCACGTCGCTACCATAATAGCCTGTACCTTAGGTCTCACATGGCGCCCTTCAGAAACGAATTTAAACAAAATGCACATGAAATACTACAGGTCTTATCTTATTAATCTGTTTGGTTTGTCATCCAATATATATCTGACCCATGGATCTATAATAATAACTGATTACGGATCTGACCACTTAGGAATGAAATACTACTCGTAATGAATACTATGGCGCCCTCTGCTGGTGGATTACTAAAGTGCAGGATAAAGGTAACATGTCTAACAAGCGTTTTTCCACCTTGTAATGCATGCAACTTAAATAAAGGAAAAATTAACTCACACATTCACACACCAGAGTAGGTCGATACTGGGAACAAGCTTGAATGTGTATCGTTAATGGCTTTATACACCTTTATAGCTTATTATTATTTATCTACTATACAGAAAATCCTGTTCTTGTAAATCCTACTGAAAATAAAATTAGGCATACATAAACAAGGCATGGGCTTACACATTTATTCCGAATATACATCAAACTATACCTGCAAAAATACTTTTCATCACAAATAAGACACATGGAAGAAGTGTGATCTTCAATTAATTTCTGATTGCCTTTAGTGTTATTAAAATGATACATGACAAGGTTTTGTATGTGGTCAGTAACAAAGTAGATGTTTGTAGCCTGTAAGTTTTAAGTAGTTCTTGTGGCCAATATTTGCTGATGGTGTCATTGATTTGATCACACAAACAATACAATTATTTATAATTTTTTTTTTTTTTTTAACTTATTTACAGAGTTAGTAGTTTAAGTTGGCAAATATCAGTTACTGTAACAGCTAGCAAGGGCAATGTGTATAATGGTTTCAATTGAAAAACAGTTTTTAACCATTTGTTTTAATGTGTCTGTACTAAAATGCAGTTCTTTGACCAGCTTTGCTTGTCACATACCATTTAGTCGTCAGTGGTCTGCCTTTATCGCACAGCGTGAATGCAGTCTGCCATCTCAGATCAAGTAAAGGTCAGAAACAACTTATTTTGGTTACATAAAACTACATGTACATCAAATGTATGTTTTAAGGTTATTAGTCTAGAAAGGCACTTCATACATATGTGCTACAAACAGTGACTTTTCATCCTACTCAAAGCTACATATTAGACAAGAGCATGACAATAGTCAGTCTATCACAAAGTGCACCACGGTGGCTTTGGGCTGCTGTGGACCCTGTTATTCCGAACACATTACTATATTGAAAGAACGAGTTTGAGGAAAATGTCAAAAGGCATATTCATTGGTTTCAGTCACGTGGAATGACTGCCCACTATTACATAGTAATTAAAGAGAGTCATTTAATTTAGACCTGGTTCTGTATCTATGTTGTGCTATCAAGTTAGCAGCAAAAACAAACAAAAAACAGCAGGGCACAAAACTACTTCCAGTCACATGTCACATTTGTGCTGGGCCCATAACCTGGCACATCTGAACTCTGTGTGAATCGTGATTTCACTAGAAGTCTGTTCATACATTCAAATTTCAATACATAGTGTTTATAACTAAGTTGAGCTGAAATATCCCCTCTATTGTACATAATCAAGAGAAAAAACTATATTGCTCTTTTTCTATGAATTCCGTACATATAAATACATTATAGGCTACATACAACATAGGCACACTTGACACAACTCAAGGTTATTATGTTCGACACCGGGGATCTGTGTGCACTAATGCGCCAGCTCTTCAAAATCTGAGAGCTGCTTCATTTGTTCCACTTGCATAGAGTGCCTTCTCACCAGTTTCTTCTTTGACACTAGGCCGCCTCTCTTTGGTGTGTTGGGTGCTACTGGAGCAATAGATCTAATGCCTGAGGCTAGAGGAGAGGAAGGCTTGCTACTGACTCCTATGTCTGGAATAGGGGGATTTGGGTTGATGTTGAGGGGAGGCAGCTGTCCGGGCCGAGTGTGGGAGATGTGGTCCAGTAGCAGAGTGCCTGAGCCCCTACGCTCGAGCAGGCCGGGGGCCCGTCTACGAGCTGTGCTGGGAGATGATGTGCTGCTGTTGCTGTCCAAGGACTCTCTAGAACTGGTAAGCAGCGCCAAGGGAGAGGTATTTAGTTTTCTCCTCTCCAGTGGGACTTTGGGTGAATCTGAGGCAGAGTCTGAATGCAGCTGTGAGTCAGAGTCGCAAAGCTCATTCCCCACCCTCCTTCTGGACCCATCCTGGTCTGATGGCAGGGTGCTGCGGCGGGCCAGTGGTTGGTGCTGGCTCACACACCTCTCATAGGAGGCCTTTGATGTGGGGGGCACTGAGAGTGATGTACTCATTTTACATGGCTGGTCCCCCACAACAGGAAACATGCTGTCTTTCCCATCCACACTATTGTGTCGCGATAAAACAGGTCGCTTGCTCAAAGCCAGCCCGTTCAGACCAGACACTACATCCTCACAGCTGGCTTTCTTACTCTCCTCCTGAGCGGCCGCTGCAGCAGCCAACACAGAGGGTGCGATCAGTCCCCATGGCTCTGACTGCAGTCTCTTCAGCTGAGGCAGTCGAGCACGTTTTGTGTTAGTGGGCCGGCGATTTGGAGAGCCAGGGCCATTAGTGGGTTTTCCTGTCGGGTTGGACATTTTCATCTTGGTTTGAAAGCTGAAAACAGAGTTCTGCTGCTCTGTCGCAGGTGTCACCTCAATGTCTGATGGTGAGGTACAGTATGTGGAGAAGGAGCACTTGTCCAACTCTGGGGAAGGGGGTACATTCAAGTACTGTTTAGTGGTTTTAGTCCCTGAAGGGGACTTGTCTGTAGTGATAATGATCACCTCTTTGCCTTTAGCCTTGCAGGCATCAAGTAGCAATTTCAGAGTTTCCTTGTCATCTGCATTGATGGCGAAGACCAGTGCTGAGGCTCCTGTGCGGTCCTCCAGGCTTGGGTCAGCTCCGTTACTTAGCAGCAGCTCTACCACCTCATGACCGGCCCGGTGTATACATGCATGCATTAGGGCACTGCGGCCCGCCTTGTCCTGGATGTTTGGATCGGCTTGGTTGTCTAGCAGGTACTTGACCAGTTTGTCTTTGCTGACACTCTGTTGGTCAGAATGCGAGGACATACAGGCTACCATCAGAGGAGTTTCTCCTCTCTCATTACTCTCATTAATGTAGGCCCCTCCCTCGAGCAGCAGTCGGGTCAGTCTCAGCCGCCGCAGCCACACTGCCTTCAGCAGTGAGTTCCCATCTGTCCGGAGTTCCAGGATGTCTGCCATATCAGCCAATCACAGCGCTTCCCTGGTCAACTTACAACCCACTGCACTGAGGACACACAAGACGAGCCATTAGAAACACATTCCCATATCAGTACCACAAGGTGGCACTGGGTTTCAGAGCTCAAGCCACAAACAGCGTATGAAATGTGATGTGAGCATTTAACATACATCTTATAGTGGTCAATTACCGCACAATAATATGCACCCCGTGTGATGATGCACCTGTTGGAATATTCTATGGTTATGTAAAGAGTAAGACCATGATCGTAAATAAGAGTGAAGTCTTCCACTAATTAAAGAGTGACGGTGTATGGATATATATATATATATATATATATATATATAATATATATATATATATATATATATATATATATATATATATATATATATATATCCATATAAATGTAAGCCACATAAGCTATAATTAGATATTTATTTTAAGCTTATAATCATGCGACAACAGCTCCTGCTCGGGCCCGTGCACAGCGGAGAACATTGATGCAAAAGACGAGCGCTGTCCAAGGTTCTGATGATATCAATTTGATGACAGACGCGCTTTATCTTGGTCGATTGCTCTTGGACTCAGGTTATTTTGTCATGGCACACTTTAAAACAACACAAATAAGACATACTATCTGATCCACACCAGCTCACTCTGTGTTGGCATCTTGTCACAAAGCCTATACGACATAAGGATGTATCATAACCAAAAACAAAGATGATATAACTTATAGCATCTTACCTGGAATGAAAAGATTGTCTCCATCCCTTAAATTATGAAGGCGTCGTTAGAGGCCAGGAGTAAGTGGGATGGAAAAGCCCGCTGGTTGCACACTGAGTCTTTAAGATAGTTGCGATCAGCGAGTGCCGTTGGTCTCTGGCTCCATGGCGCACCAGCCGCGCACTACATCAGTCCAATGGGGAGTGTGCGCTGCGCACTGATCACAACCAAGATGCTGTGGGATATAAATAACTTACTTTCTTGCTTGTTGAATGAAACGTGTAGTTGGTTGACGTCAGAATGGACCAAAATACATCGCGTCAGATGAGCACCGCTGTCCTCATGCTTCTGTTTGCTCATCACATGGAACTGTCGTATGTGCTGGGAACCTGCTGCGACTTTAGTAAAGCCTGCATGATGCCATTTTATTGGAAGCCTTCACATAGGGCTAGGACCGATAGGCCTAAAGAAAGGAGATGGGGGAGCTATAGTAAGTAAGTAAGTAAGTAAGTTAAGCTAAATATATATATGTAAACAACAACAATTATATAAGTTATTCATAATAGGATACTACACTCTAAATGACAGCGTTAGTTACACAATTGAATCTGAGCATCAACATAGTAAATAAAAACCTTTGAACCTTTGTAGTGATGTAACTATTTTTAAAGAAATGTATATCCTCCCGCTTGAGCTGATGCAGTGATTTAAAGTTTAAGGAGCACTGCCATAATTTGAAACCCATCAACAATTGATCCATTGTCGGATGCAAAATTCCAATCAGTCTTTATTTTCCTGTTCATCTATTTCTATGAAAACAGTCCATTGCTTAATTAGTAATAATTAAAAGTCAGTTGTGCATGTGTAAAACCTTTATTGTACTCTATATTTCCCTTGTACATACAATTACGTGACAATTAAATAGACCCAAACTGCAGCTGCAGCAGCCATCACAGCTATATACAGCCTAACAGGGACATTTCTATTTTTAGGTTGCTATGAGACAGCACAGAAGCAGTTTCTAATGAGAGCAGTGATGTTCTGCGCCTGCAAGGAACAGGTAGACCGACACTGCTCCAACCTGCAGAATAAAAATATTGTAATTGTAATTTTATTATTAAAGTGTTTACATTTTTGAAATACATACTCCTTGCAGACTTCCAATCTGTGGTGAAATACAATTAAAAACACAGGAAAAAAATATAGTCTACTGAGCTATTTTATTTTTTTCTATTTTCTATTTATACGTCTGTGTTTAATTAATATTAGGCAGGAGAGTACAATCCATTCTGACCTGAACATACTTTGCCATTTTACAACCGCCTAAAATACGCAACTTCCACACAAAACTCTCTTGCGTAAGCGCCATGTGAAGACATCATGCCTCAGAACCAGAAGGTGGCTGGTTTGATCCCGAGGCTTTTCTGTGTGGAGTTCCTCCTCATCCCCCAAAACAGAGGGATGCTTTCCAGCGGTAGGTCCCCAGACACTGCAGCGACCACTGCTCTGACATTCTGCCCTTTCAGGATTGGTCAAAAGCAGGAGACAACATTCCCTGCAAAAAAATTGTCAATATGGTTCAAATGAGGTTGCATGGGATCATGACTGGCTCCTTCTGTACAGTATTTTCCCTGCTATGGTTATTTCAGCGATTCATGGTAAAAATTGTTTGATAAGTGGAAAATAATATGAAAAGCCAATTACAGACCTATGTCCAGGAGGTTATTTGACCGATGGTGATATTTGAGTGCTTTTTCGTACACAGCTGTCCAAGAGCTTATTGCACATAAGTAAATAGGATGGAATGGAAATGAACCATAACAAATGAAAATCAACACATTCAACCTAATGAGGGACATTTCAGATAACACTAGACTGTTGCCTAGCAACTTAGGTGATGTGTTAGCAATTGCTCGCAAACACACATTAAGTAAATAGACACTTACTTTATGATTAAATGAGACAAAATGGAATAAAATGATTAAAGAAATGTAAGTTTTAAAGAGACAGAGTGGTGGCACATCACCTACACAATTATACGTAAATATCAGGTTGAATACACTGATTCAATTATTAATGTGGAAGGTTGGATCCAAATGAACAAGCTGCAGCATGAGTCAGGTTTTGGAGATGCAAGTATTCAACCTAAGGATGATGTGCAAGCAGAACACTTAATCAATTAGTGCTTACAGTCTCTATGGTTTGCACGGTTTTAGAAACTCCTGTTATGTTTCTTTTCCCCTTGTTATGTAATAAACAAACATGTGACTTCAATAAGTATACTGTTTCTCTTTTGAAACATGTTCCTATAGATCGGACGTCATGAACATGCCCTCATTCTGTAAGAACCTAATAGATGTGGGGAGGTAAGCGCCATCACCCGTGGGATCACTTTCCATTTTCAGAGATACTCCACTGCAGCTGCTGCTCTGTTTTCTAAATATAATATATTCTTGCACCTTTATTGTGAGCTAAACTTACTTGCAACAGTATCAGTAAGCTGAAAGCTTGTATTTACCAAGTACCGATGACATGCTCAGCAGCTGAAACAACTTAATAAACACATCTCACCCTCACCATTTCAAAAGAATCTGAACTTGATCCCCAAAATGCCAGTGTTTTAGGCAATGAAGCAGTGAGGAATCTGAAGGAGTAAAGTAGGTTATCCGGGCTCCAGTGCATCGCCTCAAGTGCTATCTTTAGCTGAATATTGATTGAATGTCTGGCTCCTTTCAGTAGGAGAAAAAATATGGGTTGTGTCCACATGTTACAGAATGTGGCCGCGGAGGAAGTGAAGAAGACCCATCTCCTTCTTTATTTATCTTCACATATGAATAAATTGTCAAAAGTAATATCCAGAAATTATATTGTTAGTGCATATGAATAGTTTAAACCAGGCATGTCAAACTCAGGCGCGTGGGCCAAATCCGGCCCACAAGACAATTTTTAGTGGCCCCTAAAATGATTTTCAACTATTATTCTTAATTTGCCGCATTGATGGTAATGAGCTTCCACACCCCTGGTTTAAATGGTTAAAACACCTGCACTGAATAGCGGCCAGAGAATCAGAATTCATATGATTTAGATTTGCTGCCCACCTCAATGTTTTCCCACAAATTAACATTCTCATTCTGCAACACCACCACAGTTCCTTTTATTACATCACATATGCATCTTTTTAATAGAATTTTGTGTGTGCCTATCTCCCCATAGATTGTAGACCCCTTAGAATAGAAGCTCTCCTGTAATTTTAAAAGAGTATAGACGTGACATTCTGGTGGCTCTTGGTGTGTAAGTGTTATCAGCTGAAATGTGCAGACTGTGACTGTGATGGAACTGTCACTTGCTCAGGCTGAGATCTGGGTGGCTTCAGGCCTCATTTACAAACATACTGCTCTGTCGTATAAACTGTAATGAAACATGAAAACGGGATTAAGTTGTGATGTGGGCTATAGCTTAGGAGAGATAACAGTGATGCGAGAAAATTATAGTGATGGAGAAATAACTTGTTTAACAGGAAAAAAGATGCACGTTTTCAAATGTGCCAAATTAATCTTTGATCTTAAAGCCTGATCCAATGCAGTATAGCAGTGTCTAGGGCAACACCTGCCTTCTGTTGCAGTAATTAAGTGCAGCATAATTGGTCAGTATTATACAGGTCCGTGTGGCTGTTGTCTATGATGGCTGTGTCCTAGGAGATGGATGAATATCTAATGAAGAGTTTAGTACTCGTTTGGAAAAGTGCCTTTGATGTTCATCCATGTTGAATTGTTTATTTCAAATGTTAATATCAGTCAAAAGTTGCAGTTTATTAAAAAAACTGGAGGCTGAAACCGAAAGGTGTACATTTACAAAGATTTTTTAATGAAAGAATTAAATTAAATTAAAAGGCCTTCGCTGCACTGCGCAGAGGAGGTGGTGCTTCTAACAGGCCTGATGGGAGCGACAGTGTGCGTTTTGAATGTCTATGATCAGTGATTGTGTATCTCTATTGAATAACATGGGAACTTTCATGAGTCTCTGTAGAAATGACCCAAATATGTGAGTCCGTCACACGCACACAGACAGTTTCACTGATCAAAATCTGCAGCTAACTTTTGGCCCTACACTTGTTGAGATGAGGTGGAGAGAATTTGACAAATTTTAAGATTTTCCCATTGCGTCCCAACGTCTTGAAAAAACTAAATATCATTTTGCCCATCGGTAAATCTGACTTTGTATGTGCAAACAGAGGCAATACAATACAAAATAGCACTCCTTACAAATTCAAGATTGT